TGACTAACCAAGAGAAAACCACTTAATACGACGCTTCTAATTTGCATCCTAAAACAGTAATAGCCGTAGTGCGTCATGTACAATTAAAGGACCTTGGCATTCCTGCATTTCACTGATTGATTACCTTATTTATGTCCATTGTTTAGCACCGCAACGCTATTTTTAGCAGGCAATCGCTAACAATTCCTACTTCTTTTTATTTCAAGTTTTCGAAAATTAGATAAAATTCGATACTATCTCCCTTTAAGGGAAACTTCATTTTCAAAATGGCTGTCCAGTCCACAACGATCGATGTTGAGAGCACCAGCAGCAGTAGAGGAAAGAGGAAACCGGAGCCACTACACAGCCCACAACTTGGATATTGATTGTAGGTGTATCTGGACCTATCCCGTTTCGTATCCCGGCTGGAATAACAAGCCGCCCACATCGATTTTTGCGTGGGCCAGGACCAGCAGCGGTGTGATATCCTCAACTCTAACGGTATGAAATGGAAAGTAGCTTTCAGGAATTCCACTTTTTGATAGCGAAGAGAAATTTCAATTCAAATTATGTACAAGTTTTGCGTTTAATTTGTACGTGGTAAATGGAATTGCAGCAAAATGATCTGGTGACCCATAAAAAGTAGCTCCTTTTACGTTATCGTAGCTTTAATTAATCTCCAACTGGATTTCCATGTACAATAATTATAAATCATTTCAGGTGTGCGATTACAAAGTACTTCTTTTTATGTACTTCTCTTTATGAGAAAACTAAGTAAGGTATGTTTTCTCAATTTTAACATAAAGTTGAAGATTTGTTATACAGGGTGTCTCAGCGAGACCGGTCATTAGACGTTTCTGGGGTTCTGGGCAAAATAAAAATTTGAGAATTCAGATTCTCTTCGACTAAAATATTTTCAGATTTCTGGTTATATCGGAAGTAGCTACCTACTTTATTTTTTTACATGGAACAGCCTGTATATTTTTAGAAGTTTGGATTTGTCAACCGTTCTCGAGTTATTCGAATTTTTCTAGAAAAATCTGCTCCAGCAGACATTTGTTCAAAAAATCAGAGAAGACTCGATTTTTTAGATATCAATTTAGGATTCAGAACATGCTTAAGCAACATGATGGAGTGTGTTTTGGTGCTGAGAACAGCTGTCTAGATCGTTTGGTCACTTTTAGTACTAATATTAACGCACCTCACAGATAATTATTAGCTCACATGCATCAAGTGACGTAAACAAGTGAGTCTTTGACAAGAACCCATTAAGAAGGCTTGTTTTAAATAGCATACTAGGCTAAATATCCATATATGTGAGCATTTTTCAAAAAACCCTAATTATCTCCCAAACTATTAATGTTAGGTATGGGACATATCGGATATAAAAGATGTAGAACGAGACACCGAAGACGACTAAGTAACAAAATATGGGAGTGCCATTTAAAAAAATGAAGTTATGGTACTACCAAAATTCGAAAAGTTAACGTGCCGTAATATCATGTTGCTTAAGCATGTTCTGAATCCTAAATTGATATACCAAAAATCGAGTGTTTTCTGATTTTTTGAACACATGTGGCTGAAAATTGGAATAATTCGAGAACGGCCGAATCAAATATACCAAATATGTAAAAATATACAGGATGTTCCATTAAAAAAAATAAAGTAGGTGGCGACTTCCGGTATAACCGGAAGTGCTACAAATCTGAAAATATTTTAATCAAAGAGAACGCAATTAATAATACTTAAGTCTGAATTGTCAAATTTTTATTTTGGTCAGAACCCCAGAAACGTCTAATGATTGGTCTCGCTGAGACACCCTGTATAGTATATTAAATTGAATTGAAAGTAAAACTTTCTGTTATTAACCGTGTGTCTCTTAAGACCCTAATGTTTCTAATTCTACGTCTAGTGTTAGTTCTAGTTTTTTACCAATAAATATACAGGGTAGAAATGAAAAAATAGCTGAAATGAGTCTAAAGATTTAAATTTTTTCCGCCATTTTTAAACAGCAATACCCCATTTCTAATACGGAATATGAAAGAGGACTTTTTTCTGAATCTAGTACAGTCAATATTAATATTGGTTACATAAGAAAATTTTCGAGAAAAATTATTTTATAATTTCATGATTTTCCATTCATGTGAGATAGCAAAATAGCAGTAACTATGCGTAACCATGGCAACCAACCGTTTCAGATGTCAAAAATTAATCATTGTCTTAATAAAATATCTAAAACAACTGGTTGCCATGGTTACGCATGGCTACTGCTATTTTTCTACCTCAAATGAATGGAAAATTATGAAACTTTAAGGCAATATTTCTCGAACATTTTTTTATGCAACTAATATTAATTTTGTTTGTACCAAATTTAAAAAAAAATCCTCTTTCATATTCCGTAATAAAAATGGCGATGGCGTCATAACTAGCTACGATAAATCTTAGGTTAAACTAGTAAATCTTAAGATTTACCAAGATGAGTTGGTAAATGTGAGGATTTTTTTATACAAGAGATAATTTTTCTGGCTTTTACCAATAGAGTTTGGTCCATGCTAAATTGCAAGCTCATTTGTTTGATAAGCATTTTTTGAGGCAATTTTCCGACAACTTCCCGAAGACTGACTTCTTTATTTTTAACAAATTCTTCTCTATCTTTATAAACTCTTCAGAGCATGAGGTAAACTGATTCTTAGTATAAAGCTGCTTTAGTATTCCAATTTTCGCATCCACTTGGTAAAGCTCGTTTTCTTTTACATCTACCACAACTGCAATAAATGCTTTTTGGATCAGTTTTAGCTCTGTCAATGTCAAGTACTTTCAGTCTTACATTTTGACCAACTTTCACATTTTTTCATTTACGTTGCTTTCATTTTTTCAGCTTGGTTTTCTAAATTGAATTTTGCATTTTTTCTCTTCAGTTATAATAACTGCTTGAGATTGAGTTGCATGCATCATTCGTCTTTTCGTTACTAATCATTTCGTCTTGTTGTGTTTTACTCTTCAGTGTTTCTGTTTATGTCCTTTTCAGTGTTATCTTCCTTATTCTGTTCAATGGGATTTTCGACGTTAATATTTTGTTCTGTATTTTTTGTGAATGCAATACATTTTCTAAATCTTCTTCAGATCTTATTAGTTCAAGCATGCCTCTAGGTATTTCTGACATTGTAATGCCCGTTTTCATGGGACGTTCCCTCGTGATATGCTCTATTTTTCATTGCCTGGATGAATTTCAAACCCTCTGACCACTTTGTTAACTGGTTTGTCTCCATCCACGTGCTCAACATATTTTCGATATCTTGATTGGCCCGCTCTATTAATCCTTGACTCCGAATGTGTCTGGACTTCCCATGGACTATTTTAACGTTCGGCCATATAGAGCATTAACTTTCAATAACTTGGTTACAAAATTCTCGACCATTATCGGAAAGAAGGATGTTCGGAGCTCCAAAAGTGGTGAAAATACTCAAAAGATGGTATGCAACTTCTGCTGCGCGTTTAGATTGAAGTACACATTGAAGTACAAAGCATCACAAGTTTAGTGAGATCACCAGGCTTAATATGTAGATTTACTTGATAACGTGAGTTCATTTCACTATGCAGTATAGGTTTGATGACAATGCCTTTTTTCAAAGTTTTCTATTTTTCTTTTACAAAGATGGCATAGCTTCAAATATGTCATAATGATGTGTTACATTTTTATACTTGCGGTTACATTAAAATTAGACCAAAAAAAAAATTTTTTTTCTTGCCTCCTGTGAGGTTTGAACTCACGACCCCTGGTTTACGAGACCAGTGCTCTACCACTGAGCTAAAGAGGCTTCTTATATTTCCATTCTCGTCAGTTGCTTACAAATATTTCGGGGAAAAACCGAAAAGTTTAATCAACTTTCAAGGTAAAAATGTCTTAAAAATGTTTGCAAATCATTTATTCTAATTGCCGAGGTTAACAAAATCCGTTTCGCAAATTTAAATTAATAAAAAAAGCTGTTATGTGTGACCCCCTTGCTGTATATTGTGCAAAAATTCTTTTTACCTGCAATATGAGTCTTGGGGTCTAAAACCAAACACAAAAAAAAACTGGACCAGAGGTTCCTTTACTCGCGATTATGATAGGGAAACGTTTGTAAAGAAAGAACACGTGGCCAACACACGATTTATGGGGCCCAGTCTTCCTGCTCGTAGCCTTTTTGTCCTTAAGCCTTTTGTGTCGCCAATGCGTACGCAATCTTTAAAAAGGTTCAGGGATGTTTGTCGACGTTCTTTGTACTTTTGCGCACCTTGAAAGACGCTACCGGTTCAAAAGAAACCCTCAAAGAAAAAAATAAAAAATATAAAACCGGATTTAACAACCAAGTTTTATACTTTCATGTAGTTTCAATAAATGAATCGTAAAAATATCTTAAAGGACAACTCATTTAAAAACGGATAAAGTTAAATCCATTAAAATATATATATCGTGCGCAATATGTTTACTTATTCTAAAAATTTTTGCAATATTTTTTTCCATTTTTTTAAGTTACTCATATTATCGCTTGTAGTAATACATTGTTATCTTGTTTTTTTTTTTTTTTATTTCATCATAAGGAAAATAACGCGTAGATTTAATTTATATAATGAGAAAAGAAAAATAAAGTAATAAAGAAGTAAAACTATTAAATTTTGTTCTGCGCAGTAATAAAGAAATCAATACGTACCTGGTTCAAAGGGAACAAAGCATTTTTTCCATAACGAAAACGCACACAAAACTATCAACGCAATAATTAAATTAAATACCCCGTAAATTCTTTTTTGCGTATAATAAAACATTAACGCGAAGGTCGCTTTTCGTATAAATATTCCTTTCGGGTTACTTTACTACACACCGTGACTAAATAAGGCGGATAAATAATTCATGGCGTTCAATCCGCGCAATCCGGCCTTGAAACAGGTGAGACGTTTCAGTTGGATTCGACACAAAACACAAAGAATGTCCAAACGCAAAAGGAGGCATTATCTTTGCAAAAATTTTTAAAAAATCCTACCTTATTGGTCGATCGGTTTCCGTGGACGCAGAGGCCATATTACGCGGTGGACGGGAGTTCGTTTCATCTGGAAAATACAAAAAAAAAGGAAAATAAAGATCGACGAAAAAAAAATTTAAAAAGCCCTCAAGCGTTACGAGGAAAGCTGCAATTGGGTCACGCAATTATCGGGCGGAGATAGATTTTGGCGAGGCCGTGATTTAAAAAAAGGTTCTCGTTGCTGAATTGGACGACGAATTTCGTTTTACTACAAAAAAAAATCGAATAGTATAACGGGTATTTGACGAGGAGTGGCGAGGGCATTGTACTTTTACTAGATTGTACTCAATAAAAATCAACCTAATTTATTTATTGTTTGATTCAGTTTTCAGTAAACATGGTGATGAGATACCAGTATTGACTGAATGCATGACCACATTTAATCACTCATTGCCATTCGAGTCTGTCTCTTTAGTGTAATATCATTTCTGCTAAAGGCTACTAGAAGATTCTGGAAGAGTGTTAATATCTGATCTGAGATCACCATAATGCCATTCTCTCTCTTTATAGCTTTACATGTATTTATACAGGGTTACCCAAAACTCCCAGGACGAAACTATAAGTTTTGAACGAAGAAGAAAAATATTTGAAAATTTGGGGATTATCCTTATCGAGTTTTACCTTATTTTAAAGGTAATGGAAAAAGAAACACAACCCCATAAACCAAAACTATATATCTTAATTCTTTCAAGAATTATGAGGGGTTGACTACCACATGGGAAAATAAAGTGTTTTCATGTTTTTTGCACTTTTATTACGATTTTTATAACAAATGTTGAAATTGTCGACCTTCTTCGGTCTCGCAATGATTTAAACGCTCATAAACCATCAGGAGCATATCTTTAGTGATATTGGTGATTTCTTCAAATATAAGATTTTCCAAATCATTTATTGATTCTAGTTTTGTTGCATAAATTCTACATTTCAGAAACCCCCAACAGAAAAAATCCAGTGGTGTTAGATCATGGTGGCTACTCAATTTTACCAATTCAACGGTTTGGAAACGTGCTGCTTAAAAAGTCTCGGACTGCGCGATTAAAATGTGGAGGACCACCATCTTGTTGGAGCCACTTATTGTCAATACCATTAGGGCATACGGCACTTGGAACCACTTGATTTTCTAACATCTGTCTCCGTCCAAATTTTTATTAATAAAAAATGTACCAATTACATTCTCTCCCATAATACCAGCCCATACATTAATTTTCTGTGATCTCTGAGTATGATCTTCTCTTATTAAACGTGGATTTTCGTCACTCCAATCACTAGCGAACCACCACTATCACTAGGGATATGCTCTTGATGGTTCAAAATTCCATTTATGAGCGTTTGGGTCATTGCGAGACCGAAACAGTCGACAATTTGAACATTTGTTATAAAAACCGTAATAAACGTGCAAAAAAACATGAAAACACTTTATTTTCCCATGTGGTAGTCAACCCCTCATAATTCTTGAAAGAATTAAGACATCGGGTTTTGGTTTGTGGGGTTATGTTTCTCTTTTAATTACCTTTAAAATAAGGTAAAACTAAAAAAGTCCACATTGCATGGAAGTTCCAAACTATCTAAGAATGTAGTTTTTATGACTCTTTATTGATCTCCAAATTTTCAAATTTTTTTCTTCACTCGTTCAAAACTTATAGCTCTGTCTCGGGAGTTTTGGGAAACTCTGTATAGGCATAAGCCTCCCACGTAAACTTCATGGCCTTATATTTTCATGATAACTCCTTGCAACATTTGTATCTGGCAGAGTGGAAAATTACATGGCTAAATAAAATTTTAAAGCCTAGAGTTCCTAGACATAATCTCTTTATGAAATCGCAGAAAAAAACACAATTTAAGTCATTTTTATTAATTCAAATATCTCAACGACTCTTTCTGCCATATTGTATAGAACATTGGAATTTACGTCATTTTTGTATCTGGGCCGACAAGTTATTTTACGTTTTCTTCTCATTTTAATTGGGTTAGATCTTAATGTAGATAAGCCATTATTTAATCTTATATGTAATACGAACTTTGTTTGTTATTGTGACAACATAGAAATGTTTCTAAAAACTTTTTCACATGAAATGAAAATTGTGTCATTGATGTTTTCTTTACGCTGACTCATCGTACGCAGTCATTTCTTTGTATGACTTTTTGTTTCGTTGTAGAATCGTTTACAATTCTGAGTCAGATATATCTTAGCCTTCAATATTGTAGGCGGACAGCAACATATTTGTTGTGAATATTCACCAAGGTAATTATTGATCATATCGATAGTCAAATTCCTTCTATATCGGATTCTACCAATGCGATTCAACACAAAAGTGACTTTTTAAAAAACGATTCATTTTCAAGAAGTGTATCAAAAATAGCTTTTTGTTTTCTGATCGGACTATACAGACTATTGAAAAAAGTTATGAAATGTGATAACACTTCAGAAGTCATAAAAGTTCAAGGATAAAAACTGGGAGGATGTCCATGTTTTCTAGGATATTTCATTCACCAGTGAATTCAATAAATAATTCAACTATTCGCAAATTATTTCAAGTAGGAACTTGTTATAGACTCCGTGATTCTATTAGTACAAGTATTTCACAAAGTACGTTGTGCTTCTTTGGTCCAAAGGTTTAGGGCAGATCTAGGTCCTTAATAATACATAGTATTGCTTCAAAGTCTTGTTCCTTTATGTCAGTAGGTGTCAGGCAAACCTTTTCGAAAATTTTGTGTCTTAGGGCAATGTTTAGGCAATGTGTCCAATGTTGAAGATATGTTAATTTAGGAACGTGTGGCCAGTTAGGAAACCTGAGAGCGAGCTTAAGTCTGCTTTGCTGAGTCATAAAACTTCTTTAGTTATCTATTGCGACGGAATTATCATACTCTTCGCCTGTCTGTGGCTTGGAGCTTAAAGTCATCTTAATGCGGCTTTTTCTTTGAAGCGTTGTATCAAGCCAGGGCTCCTCTTTTGACTTGAGTACGTTTTTCTGGCACGTTTTGTAATTTTATCAACCAAATAAGTCGGAATTTTGACTTTTGCGTTAATTGTTGTCCGCTTGTATAGTCATGAGTCATGACACATCTTGTAGTATTGTGTAAAACGTAAAACTGTTCTTTTTCGGAAATGTGTGGCACTAATAGAATCAGTGCTGCAGATTATCATTCAGAAAACTTGTAAGCTAGGTCAACAAGAGTATATGTGTGTGAGTATATGAGTGTATGGGAGAATTAAATGCCACGCTTACCAGGAATTTCATATAACTCGCAATATATGAATGCTGTAACCATAGTTACGAAACTACTATGCACTTGCATTGTCCTACATAAAATGCAACTTAGCTTAATAGTACAAGCATTGGGTAGTTTTGTAAAGGAAAAGTTTTGCTTGGAAAAGTCTGTGTTTGTTTTACTTTTCGTTTAATAAAAATATACTACAGTCTACAATTTAATGCTGAATAGCAATTAAAATTAGAACTAACACTAGACTTAAAACTAGAAACATTCGGGTTTAGCCGCACGTCTCTCAAGACGGCTAAACCCGATTGATTCTAGTTCTAGGTCTTGTGTTAGTTGTAGTGATAGTGCTAGTGTAAAACTAGAACTAACATTAGACCTAGAACTAGAAACATTGAGACATGTTGCATTTTATGTGGGACAAAGTAGGTTTCTATAGAAATAAATTTTTGTATATTGCATCTTAAATGAAATTCACTGTATAAGACATATGCAAGATACACAAAGTATTATTGTAATTATATTGTAGAGTTATTTTTGCATGTTTTACCTAAAAAAATATAAAAAAAAACTTTTTTTGGTTATTTTTTTATTAATACAATCATTTATACTAAACATACTTACTTTCATTGCCAATTAAATCAGCTATTCTTGAAACCAAATCTTGAAATTTATCATCATCTCCTATAAGTTTATTCTTACGTTGTTGAGGGGAAATTTCAGTTTGTACGCTACATTCTTTGCACTTATCATTCACTTTATTTCTATTATGTAAAAAATTAACGTTTTTATGCAACGTTTTCCGATACTTAGCGATTTCCTCTTTAAGTTCGCTGACAGTTTGGCGGACTTCGCAGTTACAAATTTTCGCGGAAGTTATAATTTCATCTTTTAGCCTTTCAACAGTGGGGTCTTTCGAATAAGCAAAGAGATCTTGACTAGTATAAGGGGAGCAAGATTTATGAGGTGAATTGGGTGGTTTGGGAGAAACAGATTTTGGAGAGGAGTAAGATAATTTTATATTGATATTGTTTGGTTTATTTTTAATTTCGTTATTTTTATTTTGAAGATTTGGAATTTTATTATTTGCGTTTGACGAGGTCATCATTGGTTTAGGTCCCGTTCCTTTCGAAATCGGTTTCTGTTGTGACCCCTTTATGTTCGATTTATTTTTTGTGGCTTTTTCATTGTAATTATTGTATTTGTTAGAAAGGGAATATGATGAAGTGGAGGATGTTGAAGGCGTTTTATACGATTTCCTATCTAAAGAAACTCCTCTTTTAGCCGTATCGATTTCGATTTTATAGTAATTAGATGGCGAAATGGACTTTTTTAATCCTTTTTGTGTTGTACTAACAGTACTTTTTCCCGAAGTCTTATAATCCAAAATCAATTCTGGAAAGTCGTCTAACATCAATGATTTTCTGGATCTACTCCTCAACACCGGATCGAAGTGTTTGTGAACGTCGACCTTCGTCTTGCTCCCCTTGGAAGTCACTGTCCTTTGTTTCCCGCCGCGCTTCGTCTTGTCCATGTTTGTAAACGTCTTTTTTTTAGGTTAAGTTCGCGCACGAAAATTTTATTACCGCATACTATTCGAACGACGCGTTTTTCGATAAATTTAGCCGCGATAACTCACCGATACAATTTTGAAATATCCCTTTTCGATCATTTAAAACTTTTAAACGGGGTTTTTACGAAAATTTTGACGTTTTTGAATTGTACGTTGTTGATGACGATTACGCATTCTAGCGTGAACAACGATAACTTCAATTGTGTTGATAAAACAGACTCCTTAATTTTTTTAAACAATACTTTATCTTTGAAATACTTTTTAAAAAATTAACAAATTAAAAGATATTTTAAATAAATAAATTTAAAAAAGGGAAATGTATATTAATTCAATATTAATCTAATATTAAAAAAGAAGAATTAAAAAAAATCGAGTCGTTAAAACAGGTATTATTCAATCTGTCACTTATTAATTTGACTGCAGAACGTGACCTAACCTCAAATTTTTACTTTTCCGTTTATTGGTGTAATTCCGCAAAATTTTGTATTAAAATGAGTGTCCCTCTTCCGCCACAGGTTGACGCGGATAATTTAGATCCAGAGCATGTTAAAACCGTGAGTTAAAACACGCCTTATAAAACCTAACCTAAAACTTCATTTTTTAGTTTAAAGATTTCCTATTATCTTATAATCGGTTAACAGAGTTATGTTTTACTGATTGTATATCAGATTTCACTACGCGGAATGTTAAGGGTAAAGAGGTAAGTTATGGTTGCATTAATTGATTTTGATTTAATTGATTTATGTCCTTAGGAGAAATGTGTTTTAAATTGTTTAGAAAAATTTTTAAAAGCTAATCAAAGGATTTCTCAAAGATTCCAAGAATTTCAAATGATTGCGAATGAAAATGCTTTGGCTGCGGCGCAGAAAATAGGTCAAACACCTAGCTGAAGAAAATAAACGGGGTTTTTAGTGGAAAGTGTATTAAAAATTCCTTAGTTATTGTATTTTTTGTTGTTGCGTATTGTTTCTAAATAAATAATTTCATTTGTGGATTATTTAAAACATTATTTACTACCTATAATATTTTTTATGTAACATAAATAATTTATTTTTGTAATTTAACTATAAATAGAGATTTCTTATTCTAAGTTATCTTGAGCATTGAGAACACCTTTTTTTATTATTTTTTGTTTGATCCTCATGAATCTTCACAGCATCAGAATCTATATGACCATTGTTGTGGTAATTCTCCAATGCAGATTGTACCAAAATATTCATAGCTTTTGCTATGTTAATATTTTCTTTTGCTGATGTTAAATGCCAACACTTTATGTTATGTTGTTTGCAAAACATTGTTAAATCTTGTGGCAAACTACCCGTTGTTATATCAGCTTTATTAGCAAGCAGAATAACTGGCAAATTTTGTCCTTTTGGTAATGATATTTTATCTTTTAAATCGTTAAGCCATTTTGTAACTGATTCAAAAGTTTCTGGACGTGTTAAATCAAAAACTATTGCAGCTCCAACTCTAAAAACGAGAAGTAAATAAAATGTTTTATTTTTTGACTCCTATGAGGTTAACCATAGCAATATTATGGAGCTAAAAGATGGATAATCTTATGGAGGAAGTAATCATTTCTTCATACATTTCGATTATTTGAGTAGTTGCTTAATGCGTGACGTCACGAACGGGCCAATGCATAGTGTTAGGAAGTTATGAATAGCCAAAAATCTAATTATAACTAAATGAAGTTGAAAATGTTTAATACCATTATAATATCACCAATTTATTTTATCTATAGACAGTGCTTAAAACAAATATTTGGAAATAAAAGCGAAACAAAGGTTTTGTTGTGGGTTGGGTTGGATGTTTCAGCTAATGTAACTCCGAAAACATGGTACATTTATTTCATGTACCCTAACAATAAGTATATATAGTTATATAATATAATATATACAGGTGTCTCACGTAGCTGGTTCGTTAAAACATTTTAAGGTTCTACTATTCATAGAGGTTTGAAATTTTGGTAGATAATTTATTAAAGTATCCCCTTTTTAATGCAAAAAGCCGTTTTGAAAAATCACTTTCAGTTCTTGAGAAATAAATTTTTGAAATGATCGAACATTTTTCGAATTTTGCAATTTTAACCGATTAGTTTTAAAAATTCGTATAAAATCCAGTTCTTGGAATATGAATATGAAAATTTCCCAAAGTGTTAATAAAAGTGGCCTCTTTCCAATGAACCAACCCGTTTTGAAAAATAACTTTTCGTTTTTGAGAAAACAATACTTGAAGTTTTGATAAAATTTTTGATGTTGCAATTTTCAGCGATAACGTTCAAAATTCGCTATAAAATTAATTTCTTGAAGGATTCTTGTGGAAATATCACCAATTATTAATTAAAGTATCCCCTTTTTAATGCAACAAGCCGTTTTGAAAAATCACATTCAGTTCTTGACAAATAGATTTTTGAAATGATCGACAATTTTTCGAATTTTGCAATTTTAACTGCTTAGTTTTAAAAATTCGTATAAAATCCAGTTTTTGGAATATGATTATGAAAATTTCCCAAAGTGTTAATAAAAGTGTCCTCTTTCCAATGAACATGAAGGTTTTGAAAAATAACTTCTAGTTTTTGAGAAAACAATTTTTGAAGTTTTGATAAAATTGTCGATGTTGCAATTTTGATCGATAACTTTCAAAATTCGCTATAAAATTAATTTCTTGAAGGATTCTTGTGGAAATATCACCAATTATTAATTAAAGTGTCCTCTTTTTAATGCAGCAAGCGGTTTTGAAAAATCGCTTTTAGTTCTTGAGAAATAAATTTTTGAAATGATCGACAATTTTTCGAATTTTGCAATTTTAACTGCTTAGTTTTAAAAATTCGTATAAAATCCAGTTGTTGGAATATGAGTATGAAATTTTTCGAAAGTGTTAATAAAAGTATCCTCTTTCCAATGAACCAACCCGTTTTGAAAAATAACTTTTCGTTTTTGAGAAAACAATTTTTGAAGTTTTGATAAAATTTTTTATGTTGCAATTTTGATTGATAACTTTCAAAATTCGCTATAAAATTAATTTCTTTAAGGATCCTTGTGGAAATATCACCAATTATTAATTAAAGTATCCCCTTTTTAATGCAAAAAGCCGTTTTGAAAAATCACATTCAGTTCTTGAGAAATAAATTTTTGAAATGATCGACAATTTTTTCGAATTTTGCAATTTTCGCCGATTAAGTTTTAAAAATTCGTATAAAATCCATTTCTTGGAATATGAGTATGAAAATTTCCCAAAGTGTTAATAAAAGTGTCCTCTTTCCAATGAACCAACCCATTTTGAAAAATAACTTTTCGTTTTTGAGATAACAATTTTTGAAGTTTTGATAAAATTTTCGATGTTGTAATTTTCATCCTTGATTCGCTATAAAATTCATTTCTTGAAGGATCCTTGTGGAAATATCGCAAAATCACTATCCGTTCTATCACTAGTGCACCCTAAAAAAGTTTTAACGAACCAGTTACGTGAGACACCTGTATTTATACTTGAAGTATGAAATCAATTCGATACAAATTTGAGGGATATTCTTCCAGAAAAATTCTTGGATATCTATGTTATATTTTTTAACGCGCATTTTTTGGGTTAAAATTGAAATGTACAGGTGTCCCGAAATTGAGATACCATGTCTAAGTTGACATTTTAAAATTGGAACCCACATTTTTTTGTTGCATTTATGGATTCTACTATTAAGTCTTCGAAAAAATAGCAGTTAAAAAATACTGTTACTATTTTATTTGCAATAATCGAGTAAACCACGCTAATCTCTGTTTCTGTATTAATTTGTGACAATATCACTTGTCAAAGTTCTTCATTCCGAGTTTCTTGCGTTTCTTCTAAAAGCAGGCCAATCTGGATATTTAATTATTTTATTATTAAGTGGCCATGTACAAAAATTTTATGCACTGCCACAGGTATATAACACCAATTATATAATTGATTGTGTAGAATAATTTTTAAATAATAAATAAATATCTTGTTAAAAGCTATGGTTAACTTCATACGAGTCTAATTTTCTTGGATAATAATAATTACGCATATCTATAATAAACACTTGTTAAAGAACCAAATCTTTCGTGTCCGGCAATATCCCAAAGTTGTAAATTAATTCTTAAATCCTCATCCCAATCGAGACGTTTTATTGCAAAATCGGCGCCGATCGTGATTTTATATTTCGGAGAAAACGTTCCTAAAAAAATGTTTTTCTTCATTAAAAATTCAAGTGGTTAAAAAAACATATCTTAAAAATGCAGTAAAAAAATGTTACGAAACGTTCGATGGAAAATAAATACGCGATGCAACAAATTCAAGGTTATTGCCGTACCTCTATACACCTGATACCGTTTATTTTAAACATATTTGTTATTTTGTTACATAAATTATAATTACGATTTACCTCATTAAGATATTTTGAATTGATCAATTTATTAATTTTGAAAATGAACTGCTTTTTATCGCTTAATCTTTTTAATTTACAACAAAACAAATCTGTAATAAGTTATTTACGAGATTAGATAAATTAATAAGGAAATTGAATTTAAAAAAATTTGTTTAAAATCGATATCTTCTAAGAAATTGGAATGTTTGGAATTGATTTTCTCCCGGTTAAGTTATTGATTTAAATAGGGGTGAAAGTATGTTAAGAATGCCGCGGATATTGATTGGGGAATCAAGAAAGGAATTCGAAATATTTTTAAGATAACAAAACGGAATTACCAACCTTCAGCATATCTCCTTATAATCGAAGTTTTTCCTGCAACAATTAATTGTTTAAGAATTAAAAGGAATACTTTAAAAACTTACCCACTCCGAAATCACCAATAACTAAAATTTTAAACAAAACCTCGTTTTTAAAACTATCATCCATCTTTTTAATCAAACAACCACGAATAATCTTTTTTTCTCTTTCACGTACCGCAACTACCAAGCGCTAAGTTTTTGATATATTTTTCATATATTGTGGACTCAACCACATGTTGAACGAACCTGCGCGATGCAACTCACATCAATGTAATGTTACACCTCTTATCTTTTCGTTTGTGACATCAAAAGTAATGAAAATAGCTACTGGTTAATATCGTTTTTGTTATAAGATTAGATAACGAAATTGTTTAAATTTAAATTAGGTACAAAATTACAAAACAGGAATCTGTATGAAGTTTTAGGAGTTCTTTAACAGATGACAGGATATAATCTTTAAATTCAATTTTTCTAAGTTAATAATCTGCGTTTATTACAACAAAATTAATATAAAACATTTAAGATGTTTTAAAACCTTTAGAGATATAACAGAATTAAAGCCAAATTAACGACAAGCACAACTATCTACAATCATATCATCATAATTTTTAATAATAACATTTTGAAAACGATCTAAAAACATAATAACAAGACTTTTATAAGTATCCGGCACGCAACAAGGTTTTTTAACATAAACGAAGCTGTGAAAAAGATGTTTTAAAAGACCATGATTAGTCGTTGTGGGACTCGATGATATCGTTGAAATACAACTTCCCCGACATTGAAACGCCATAAAACCATCTGGGGCTAAAATAAAATTGTTCCAACCCATTTCTTGGAAACTTATGTACCAAATTTGTTTGTTACAACCGGAAGTAGTCAGTGGTAATCGATTAATCGTTTTAAAATCCAACGAGTTTTGAAAAATACGATTTCGATTCAATCGTTTATTTAAATGCGAAATTTTCGCGTGATTTCTGGAAAACTTTTTTTTAACGTAAATCACTAAAATCGGTTGGAATTTTTGGTTCGATTTTCTTGCGATGTTTAATTGAAGCGGCACATCCGAACTGTCCGTGCAAGTTAATAAAAATCCCAAGTTTGGTTCGGATTTTAACCAATTTTGGATCACATTTTGGACTTTAAAGATCTAAAAACAACAGTGATCATGAAAAATATTAAAATGGATAAAAGAATTGTACCTGCCATCCAGAATATGATGAAGAAACATAAATAACGTTCAATAATTTGTGAATATCGGGATTTTCCGTCATATTTTCGTTAATATTTGAATTATTTAAATTAATTAATTGATACAAACGCATTATTTCGTCTGTTTGTTTAGTTTGTTGTTGAGAATTAGTTTCGTTTAATTCTGAAAACCTAAATATTAATAATAATATTAATTTAGAAATATAATTAATTATGTTATTTATGCATTAAGTAATTTAGCCGCACATGTTTCAAAATGGCTAAACCCAAATGTTTCTAGTTCTAAGTCTAGTGTTAGTTCTAGTTTTACTCTAGCACTGTCACTAGAATTAACACTAGACTTAGAACTAGAAACATTCGGGTTTAGCCGTCTTGAGAGACGTGCGGTTAAACCCGAATGAATCTAGTTCTAGGCCTTGTGTTAGTTCTAGTGATAGTGTAAAACTAGAACTAACACTAGACCTAGAACTAGAAACATTCGGGTTTAGCCGCAAGTCTCTCAAGACGGCTAAACCCGAATGAGTCTAGTTCTAGGTCTTGTGTTAGTCCTAGTAATAGTGCTAGTGTAAATCTAGATCTACACTAGACCTAGAACTAGAAACATTCGGGTTTAGCCGCACGTCTCTCAAGACGGCTAAACCCGAATGATTCTAGTTCTAGGTCTTGTGTTAGTTCTAGTGATGGTGTTAGTGTCAAACTAGAACTAATACTAGACTTAGAACTAGAAACATTTGGGTTTAGCCGCAAGTCTCTTAAGACGGCTGAACCCGAATGAATCTAGTTCTAGGTCTTGTGTTAGTTCTAGTGATAGTGCTAGTGTAAAACTAGAACTAACATTAGACTTAGAACTAGAAACATTCGGGTTTAGCCGCACGTCTTTCAAGACGGCTAAACCCGAATGATTCTAGTTCTAGGTCTTGTGTTAGTTCTACTGACAGTGCTACTGTAAAACTAGAACTAACACTAGACCTAGAACTAGAAACAAATACTTTCTAGTTCTAGTGTTAGTTCTAGTTTTAATGCAATAAACTAGAAACATTAGTCTTCCATTAGCAGTAACTAATATCTTGTCAACAGCCTTCTGTAAACAATAGGTACTTTTCTGAAAGCAATATTTGGTCTTTTACCAATAGTATCTAGTGTTTTGCTAACAATAGATACTCTTCTAAATGCAGCATTAAGTCTTGTATCAGAAATATCTAATCTTAAAGCTTCTACCAGTACTCTTTAGTCTTCTGCAAACACTATCTGGTCTTCTACCAGTACTATCTAGACTTCTATTAGCACTAGAAACCTAATTAAACCTAATTATTAAGCCATTTCTGCATTTTGTTCGCTCCCGAGAAGAAGAAAAATAATATAAGAAATAAATAATCCAGCCCATTTGTTATTGAAAACTAAAAATAATCTTCGAAAAAACATTTTGACCTTAGCACATAAGAAGAAAACTAATATTTTATAGATGTACCACATAACCTAACAAAACAGGACGAAGTAAGTTTTAGCACATGGTTTTTTAATGATTTTCTGAGTTTTGATTTGTTGATTTTAAATAACATTATTAGAAAAACGCACACATATTAGTAAAATCTGTAACATTAACATAACATTAGTTTTATATATCTTGTATGTTAAAATTTTTAGAGCCTCCGAAGATGGCGTAGATCGCCGAAACGCGTCAGGTTTAGTTTACAATAAAAATACCAATAAAAGCAAAAGATATACGTGTGATTATTTCTATTAGCACAGTTCAGTTCTCCATTAGCTAATATTCTGTCCAGCCTTCTGCAAGCGATATTTACTTTTATGTTGGTAGCAGAAGAGTACAACTTCTACCAGTAGGTTTTCGTAAATAGTACGCAGTCTTCTGCATACTCAATCTACATATCTAATAGTAGTATCTACTTATTCAATAGTAGAATCAAGTTTTCTTACAGCAGTATCTAGTCTTCCACTGGCAATATAAGATAATAAAGTTTCAACAAAAAACCTAAATGGTTTGTTAAAATTTGTAGAGATAATTTTGCAACGTAGTGATCCTCCACACCAAAATAGAGCTAAAAAGATTCTTGAAAATTTCCAGAATAAAAATCAGATGCCATCAACACGCACGTTTAGCTTAGATTCTAGTTTTAGGTCTTGTCTTCGTTCTAGTTATAGTGTAAAACTAATGTAAAGCTAGTGTAAACTAGTGTTAGTTCTAGTCTTCCATTAGCAGTAACTAATATCTTGTCAACAGCCTTCTATAAACAATAGGTACTGTTCTGAAAGCATTATTTGGTCTTTTATCAATAGTATCTAGTGTTTTGCTAACAATAGATACTCTTCTAAATGCAGTATAGAAAGATGACTGCAAGAGACGAAGATAAATGCAGTATAAATTTTGTATCAGAAAGATCTAATGTTAAATCTTCTACCAGTACAATTAGATCTTCAAGCAAAAAAGTCTTCTGCAAACACTATCTGGTCTTCTACCAGTACTATCTAATCTTCCATTAGCACTGTTTATTAGCACTGCCAACAGTCCTGCCCAGCCTTCAGCAAGCGATATTTACTTTTATGTTGGTAGCAGAAGAGTACAACTTCTGCCAGTTGTGTCTGGTTTTTTCAAATAGTAAGCAGTCTTCTGCATACTCAATCTAGAGATTCAATAGTAGTATCTACTCATCCAATAGTAGAATCAAGTTTTCTAGATTTATCTTCTAGTTTCTTAAAATTTTTTTGTTTGTTTCAAGAACGAAAAGTGTACTGGCCATTGTTACTGTAGTTTCTCCACAACACTTTTGGCAAACCATGGAGGCAATATTCTAGATATCAAGCGTTATGAGGACTGGCGACGGTGGCTAAAAGTTATATTGAAGATTCTGTCCACACCAAAATAGACCTAAGAAGATTCTTGAAAATTTCCAGAATAAAAATCAGATGCTATCAATATCTATAGCACCGCTAGTATTGCCAATAAAGGAAGTAGCGGATCCTTCTTTTGTCGCCAACCTCGTTTTCCAACAACAAGAAATTGTAACCAAAAATTTGAAACTACCGAAAATTCATAAGTCAATAAGTAGGCAAAAATCGCCAGACCGGACATAAATTAATTTTTCTTATTAAATTTAATTTCCGCTTACGTCATAATAACACCATTCAGTTTTTTTTTTGACAAATAATATTTAACATGATTTTTATAAAAATATAATTAATTTTTTACCTATAAATATGTAATTCAGCATCTAAAACTTCATCACCTTCATTTAAAGGAAATAAATCAAACTTTAAAATATTATTTGAGTGTCCACGTTCAAAAACCAATCTAATTGTTGAAATGTTATCGAACTCTTCCACTTTTTCCACCATGTCATCGTATAATTCATTTGCAATCTCTGGAATTTCCACGAATTGGTTCATAGAATCAAACGTCCATTCAGGATCGATTAAATAAGAGCTATGCGCGTTTTTAAACCTTTCCATTCTCTAAATAATAATATACCTTAGTTTATTTAAACGTTAAATTTGACATTATTTTGAATTAAAATTTTACCAAATAATTTCTTTTCCCACTTTTCCTCAACATTTCCGCTTCGAAATCTTGATAATTATTTTGATTTTGCATGATATTTCGATAAATGGGTGCAGGTTCGTCCGCAACGTTTAATTTGGTCGCTTTAAATAAATAAGTTCGGCCGTTTTTGATTTTTTCGCCTTCTTCAGTTTTTTGGTGAATAATTTCAGGTTCGGTTTGAATTTTTGTGATATTTTCCTCCCCATCGACTAATTTATTTTCTAAAATCGTTCCGAAACATATCAAAAATATTATTAAAACGTACATATTGTTCCTTCGACGAGAAACTATTTTAAACTGAAACTGAAATCTGGAGTATTTTAAGAGACTATTCTCGGGTAATGAGGAAACGTATAAGCGCAAATTATGTCTTTTGTCTCGCCCGCAATGCTAATTATTTAATTTAATCGAAGACAATGTTTTAAGTGTCTCAAAAGAGGCCGGAGTTTATAGATTTAAATTTGTTAATTAAATGAATTTTACTATTTTAAAACGGTGGGATCATTTCTATAAAAAAAATCGTAAAAATAAATAAATTAATTTTGAAACTTATTTATTTACAAGTTTTTATTAAATTTGATGTTTATGCATTAAAAGAATTACGAAACAACGTAAATGAATAAAATAAAATTAATAAACGATACTTTTTGACTAAGTGTGAACTTTTTTGTTATGAATTTAAGTTATTTAGGAAAGCCATCAATAAATCGACCCTTACAATCTCTTATTTTCTCATTTATTTAACTTTTTTTACCTACCGCAATTATTATTACATAATTTTCATTATTATAAAAGAGAGCATACTCAGTATGCATTTTTTTTAAATCAATTAAAAAAGTTTTTTTTTTATTTTTCACGCACATGAGTCAAACTTTCCAGTATCAATTCCAACCTGTTGTTAAACTTAATAAATTACAGAACGCAAATAAAATCCTAATAATTTGTTGTTGTCACTTGGAAGAAAATAATTAAAGAAAACAAAACTGAGGAGAAAAAAAAATTAACACCTTTTTCTTCCTTTATGGCAAATTATAAAATTACAATGTCATAAAGAACGTGTTTGTTTTTGCACGCGAGAATTTGTCAACAGGTTGCGTTCGCGTTTATTTCTTCAGTCGAAGTCGACAATAAAATCTTTTCCGTAACTCCAGGTGAAGAAGTCGATTCGCCCGGGGGCCGAAACACCACACTGTAAGGAAACATTTTATGGCACTTTTCGATGTAGCTTTCCACTTCATCGTCACATCTACCGAAATCTCCTCGTTTTAAAGAATTTAAAATATCAGTACAAATCTAAAAAACAAATTTAAATGAAATTTAATTTAAAATTTAAATAAACCAAGCATTTTTAAAATAACCCAACTTACTTCTATACTTATATCAGTGTATTTATTAGTATCTAAATCGGTAATAAATTTTAAAGCGATGTTCGATGTTTTACCATCCAATAAATACATTATTTTACAAGCTTCAAATGTAGCTGGTAAACTATTTGAATTTGAATCCATAAATTCTTTATTGAGTTGTTTCGCGTCTTTTCCGCGATAAAAATGTTCCGATTCTTGGAAAATAACTGATGAGACAACTTCATCCCACGTCTTTTTATTTTGTTCCATAATCAGATAAAATCTAATTAGACACGAATGAAGTTTCGGGTTGTTTGGATTTAATTTGAATGCTCTTTTAATCGATTGAAGCATCAATAAATCTTTTTCTACAAAAATAATTTTCATCAAAAAAATAATTTTATAATTAAAAATTAATACTTTTTCTATAATAAACCTCAAAAGCCATTAAATGAGTTTCTATATTATCCTTGGCTAAAGTTTGTAATGGTTGAAGAAACTTAACAGCTTGTTCTAAAGGTTCCTCAACCTAAAAAAAAAATTAAATTAAATTGATTTCATTTATAATTTGATTTGGGTAAAATACTTTGGCTAATTTCTCAGGAATAAGCTCATCCAATAAAGGCGTATCAGCTTCAACATCCCCTTGTTGTTTTGATTTGTGATGTTGATCTCTTTTAACTTGTAATTGAGCAGCTTGGGCGCTTTCTTGTTCGGCTTTTTTCTTAGCTTTACGCTGTTTATTACGAAGCTTTTTTAATTCGGATGGTGCTAAGTTTTCTAAATATAAAAATTAATTCATTAAATATAAGATATTGTCTAAAATCCAGAATAAATACTCCAGACTCTATCTGATTTATTACTTCAAGTTTTTGATTATGTAGTATGGAATAGAGCAACTTGGGGAGTAACACAAGTTGTATTCTATATTTTATTATTCTACAGGGTGTTTCATAATATATGCGCAGGACTTCAGGATGTTCTATTTTTCTAGAAAACGGTCAACTTTAGAGCTCATAACCTACACTACCTTTTCTGTGTAGAAAACATTGACGGTTCAAATGGGTACCGTATTTTTTCCAGTGGCGTAGAAGTTGGGGAGAAAAACAACCACTACCCCATCAAAATCTTCACCAATTATTTATTTATTTATCTCATGTGGGTATAAAAACAAGTCGAACCCAATAACACTGTACCACAAACAACCAATTGTATACAAAATAAAATTACAGTTCACAATAATAATAATGAATTAATATTAATGGTACAAAAGTGAATCAAAAGCAAAAAAATTAAAACTAAGTCTAGGTGATATAAATATATCACAAAACAAATATCAAATGAACGCTCAAGGCAACACACCAAGTGCAGCAAAAAGCAGTTTTTTAAATGCATAGAAAGAATGCTGAAACAGATCTATGTTAACATGATTTGCTGATCTTGCCATTTTCAATAAAGGAGAGTTGGTTCTAGGAGTAGGTGTCATAAATGGAAAGTTAATTTTAAAACAAAGGTATTTGAGGAATTTAGATTGAATACGCTCAATTCTAGATTTATACGAGAAATACTGAGGATTCCAAACGACGCTGCAAAAGTTAAATGTGCTGTAGACATAGGCAAAATAGAGATTTCTAATTGCATCAATGTTACAAAAAGTTACCGTAGATCTCATAATAAATCCTAACATACGCCAGGCTTTGGAGACAACAGTATCAATATGTTTATCAAATAATAATTTATAATTTAAATGCAACACCCAAATCTCTAATAAATGAGACACGTTACAACCTCTCACCAACGACGCTATAATTGTAATAGATTGTGTTCACCCTCCTAGAGAAGGAAATAATATTACACTTTGATAAGTTTAATGAAAAGCGATTATTTAAGCAAAAAGCATGTACAGGGTGTCCAAATTTCGATGGGTTTGCAGGGTATCTCAGTTATTATGAAAGATAGAAAGTTGCGGCTTTCGCGAACCTGAGCTACTTTTTTGTGAAACTTCCAATGGCGCAAACCAAATTTTCATAGCCCTCTTCGTTTTTGATATACAGGGAGTGTTCAAAAATTTACGATTTTCAGACACCTCCTGTATATCGACTATCTGGAAACGTAAAAACGGGTTCTAATAGATTTTTTCACGAAGAATCCAATGGTGCACGTAGAATTTTTCTAGTCATCACGGTTTTTGAGTTATAAAGAGTTAAGTATTTTAGAAGTTGAGTATTCAGTATTTGAGTTGTGTTTATAACTCAAATCCCGTGATAACTAGAAAAATTCTACGTGCACCATTTGATTCCACGTGGAAAAATTTATTAGAATCCGTTTTTACTTTTTTACTAAGTTTCCGGATAGCCGAGATACAGGAGTTGTCTGAAAATCGTAAATTTCAAACACTCCCTGTATATCAAAAACGAAGAGGGCTATGAAAATTTGGTTTGCGCCATTGTAGGTTTCACAAAAAAGTAGCTCAGGTTCGCGAAAGCCGCAACTTTCTATCTGTCATAATAACTGAGATACCCTGCAAACCCATCGAAATCTGGACACCCTGTACAGTCGGTACGATATTTGTTGAGCCAAAATTCCCAGAAAGGAATTTACGTTCTATTCTCGGAAAGCAACGGTTAATCACGGCTTGATATTTACAAGCAGTGGCGTACCTTTAAACCATTCACGACAAATAAACGCTCATTGCAAGTATAAACACCCACTTGGCATGGCGCCGCCAATGACTTCCGATGTTATAGATTCCAAGAATCTGATGTAGTGGTTTTCTGAGAAATTTGGCTCAACAAATATCATACCAGCTGTAGATTGTTTAAGTCAGATTGCAGTCTAGAACAATCAAGAGGTGAGGAGATGTGGAGAAATAGTTTTAAATCGTCAGCATACATTTGGGCATAATTAACGACGTCAAATATGTCCTTAACATAAATATTAAACAGTAGAGGGCCCAAGATGGCTACCCTGTGGAACACCAGAAGGGACCGACACAGGATTAGAAAAAAACCATTAACCGAAACAATCTGACATCTCTCCTTCAGATAGGAAGCAAGCTATTAGTAAGCCAAAAGTAACACCAAACTGCATTAGTTTAAACAGAAGTAAGTTGTGATCCACTCGGTTGAAAGCTTTATTAAAATTCGTATAAACTGAATCAACCTGACAAGAATCATCCAGAGAAGATAAGATATACTGGGTATATCCAAGCAAGTTGTCTACAATTGATTTTAGACTTAACCCTTTGTCTACCAGCGGTACTTAAGTCTCACAAAATATACATACGTTCAGCTAATCAAAGCTAATGTGATTATTATTAGAATAGTGAGACTTAAAAATACCGCTGGGTGATAAATGACGTTTTATAAAATTTATTTCTGGTAGGGAAGGGGTTAAGGGTAAAGAATAGACGTGCATAAACTACTTTCTCAAACACTTTCCCAAATGCTGGCAAAATAGATATGGGGCGGTAATCAGATATAACACCAGGGCCCCTATTTAAAAGTAGGAAGAAGAAAAGCCCGCTTCCACAATGAAGGAAAGACACCTATTATTAATGAAGCATTAAATAAAATAGTTAAAGGAATCAAGAAAGGATCGATACTAATACTGTCTGTAACCCTGACGCCCATCAGGGCCTCCTTAACCTCAATTCTGTCAAATTGCATCTGACTCAAAGAACTTACGAATTAAAATTACGTCGTCAAACGCTATAAATCATCTAAAAAGGACGGAGCACGAGAACAAACGTGACTTTAAAAAAAAATTTCTTGCACAAAACTTAGCTTATTATGAGTAACAAATTCTTATAAACGCTATTTTCTGTACGATAAACGGTTCTGGAGATATTTGCAAAAAACGATTTCTTTAATTAAATTTCAACACCCTGTATCTCGAAAATGAATAATATTATGAAACACCCTGTATATCACTAAGTATATTGAGGTTGCTTTTTACCTGTATTTAATTCTTGGTCTGCACATTCATCTTTTAAAGGTTCATCAAACAAATGTAAATAAACCTCGATTGCGCATCTGGCCGCTTTGAAATAAAATTGATGCCCTCTAAGAACATCTTCGAGCCTTAATAATCCAACGTACGACCTTAACGTCATTTTTCTCATACAATATGTATGAAAATCGAATTGATCTTCAATAATTTCAGAAAAATGCTACAAAAAACATTAATTAATTAAACAATAACAATTTAGTTAGTCTTTTAATACTCTATCTATTTCGTGACACTTTTTCAAAGAGTCCCCGTATTTCCCGTCGCGTTGATAAGCGAGGGCACATTCCGTTTGAAACCACATGCATTGCATCTCGTTGAGGTTTTCCATCGCGGAAACACCTTCCCTAGTAAATTTCGCGCACGTATCTTCCGCCTCTTTTACTTTATTAGCTCGTAACATGTATTTCGCACATTTTGAGTTAATGTATCTATCCGCTGTGTCTAAACCTTGAGCCTCATCTAACCATTTATAAGCTTCTAATGGATCTCCGGCATGCTGTTTATTAATCAAATTAATTAAATTAATCTTTAATGTATACACGTACAGTGTAAGCCGGTTATAACGAACAAAAATAATAGTCCTGAAAATGTCTCTACTTAACATAATCTAAATAAATTTGTCTATAAAAAAATTGTATCAGAAAAGTTAACAATAAAGTAGAGATCTTTGATGAAGACGACGACATGACACTTATACAGTTTATTTCTAAACCTTGTATTGAAATGAATCGAAGTGAATCTTCCACAAGACTAAATAAACTGTGATGAAAATGTGGCAACTTCGGAATTTTTATTGAAAGGATGTTTGAAAATCTTCTAATTCAAACCAAAATTACCAAATTTTTTAAATAACTTGTTAACTTTATTTTGTGGTTATTGTTGAATTAAATGTAGGTATAATTTTGATCGACAATTTTTTTAATCGACGGAAAATCACTTTAAAGATTCGACGCGACCTCACTTTTTGTGATGTCATAGACCGTGCTAACCATATGCAGTGTGTTAATTAATTATAATACCCGACGTCATCATTGCAAGTATGCAACCAATATCACAGTATTTTTATTTCAATACGCGACTTACGTATGATGCGTATTGTATTGTGACATTGGTTGCATACTTGCAATGATGACGTCGGATACGATAATTAATTAACATGCTGTATTTTCGCATTTCGTTACGGTTCTTTCTTAAAATGTCGTTGTTTACCATCTATAAACTAAAGATAACCCAAAATCTATACCTAATGCCCTAACCCCCTCTGAAAACGTCACCTAATTTATAGATTTATTTCAGAATTTTGTGTACAAATTCGACTTTGAGTTAAGTTAATTAATATTTAAATTAGTGCGAAATCCCCAAATGTTAGGTTGGGCATGTAGATGGTATATAAAGACATTTCAGTCGTTGTGAATTTTTGTATCAATTAATACACACTCTATTAACACAGGGTCTATTGATATATCCGAGAGCTTTCTCTCAGGACCGTGTCCACTAGGTGAAATGTATCCGTGCTATGGAAAGTAAAATTTATTTTCTTTCGGTGTTTGGTGTGTGTAATAGACCGGAGTGAAAAACAGAAAAGTTTCCGAATCGAATTGTAATAGGGCGGAAAATTTGCTACTCGTTAACACAAATTCAGAGAAAAAAATTTTTTCAATCGGACAATATCTTCCGTTCGCGAATCGCATTCAAAGTTTAAGAATTTGAACAGAAATTGACGGGATATACGAAAAATCGTAGAAGGAGTAAATACATAGCATAATCTTGAAGTGCACTACAAGAAAAACGTGCCAATGTCTTTGAGTACGATAGAAGTAATAGCAGATGCTCTGTCAGACACACCAAATCGGTCACTTGTCAACTTGTCAAAAGTTGCAGGAAGTGACACTGGCATCTGTGAAGTTTTTGAACAACCTGATTGAGACGACAAAGAGTGTGCGGACTGAAAGTCGGAATCATACTTATCATTTATCAACTTCAAAAGTTATCTGAGGTTGAGGATCAATACTACTACAAGAGGGTCCAGGCAGGGTGGTCTGATTTAGCTGACGAGCTAAGTCTATCTGTCTCTGCAACCTTAGTGTAACCTTTTGCGATTCTTTTGTATCCACCGTTCCAATCTTACCGTGCCTGAGGTGTCTGAGCGTAAAGAAATCTTATTTCTAATACACTTGTCAAAGCGCTAGTTAGCATAAGATATCACTATGTTGCATATTTTTATTGCACTAAAACTAGAACTAACACTAGATCTAGAACTAGAAACATTCGGGTTTTTAAACCTGATACTTTCTAGTTCTAGTGTTAGTTCTAATGTTACACTAGCACTATCACTAAAACTAACACAAGACCTAGAATCATTCGGGTTTAGCCGTCTTTAGAGATGTGTGGCTAAATCCGAATGTTTTTAGTTTTCGGTATAGTGTTAGTTCTAGTATTAATACAGAGTCTATTGACATACAGTCTATCTAACGACAGGTAGTCAGTCAAGGGTAGTCGAGGTATAGTCAAGGTAGTCAAGGGTATTTCATCCGAAAATATGCGTTGTAATCTCACCTACTTTAGTGAAAATAACTTTATTTTTAAGTTTATCAGATTGATTTTGTGCGTGGCTATAAAACAGGGTTGGCCATTTTTGCACTACCACTGTCTATTCGGTGGTAGTTAAAATACAACATCCATTATTACTGAAATGCACTATCACAAAACTTTTAGTGAAACGTGATCTTTAACTAAATACATATTATGAATTTATATTTTATGTCCGATATTAGTTATCAACTAGTTTGTTGATCAAAATGCTTCTTGGTGTATAGGCGATGTAATTAAATGATGTCATTAAGCCAATCTAGCGAAATGAATCACGACTTCTTGGTGTCAACAGCAGACTAATCTATTTGGTAATATGGTTTATTTTAAATACATTTCCTTAAGCCGACGTTACACGTCGCAATCGACTGCTATGGCAGTAACTACGGAGGGGTGTGGTGCTCCTCCGTAGTTGCCGCCATAGCAGTCAATTGCGACGTGTAACGTCGGCTTTATACTGCTTCAGCTCATATGTATAGTCTTACTTTTATTATTCAAGAAGCAGTGTTATGTTACTGAAAAATGTTAATTATCACTAGGGCACGGAACTTTTGTAACGATACGATTTCCCCCTTCCACTCGTTCTCAGCAGAAAATTTCATACAAAAGTTGTTCTAAATTAAATTCTAAAACGATTTTCTCCATAAAAAGAATATATAAATTTTTTTTAGATTGTTCTTAATTATTGATCAAATCAAAAATTTTTATTAACAATATTTGTTTAGAATTACTTCAGGAACAGTGTTTGTTAATATGATTTTTTGCTAACTTGAAATTTTAATTTCCCTCTGAATAGTATGCTATCAAAATTAATTATCTCAATAATTATTGTTTTTATCAAAAAATGTTTTAAATAAAATTTGTTTCAATTTCGATTTTGAATCAATTATCTTAGTAAAAAATGTTTACATCTCTATTAATTAAGCATCTAAGTGTAATTATGTGTAAAAACGGAAAAATTATTATTTTGAGGTTATCTCCTTAATTATTGATTAAATCAAAAAAAAATGTTGACAAAGTTTGTTTAGAATTGTTTCAGGAACAATTTTTGTTAACACAATTTTTTTCTAACTTGAAATTTTCATTTCCCACTGAACAGTATGGTGTTCTTTTAATCAAGATTTTCTGAGAACGAGTGGAGGGGGGAAATCGTATCGTTTTGTTACAAAAGTTCCGTGCCCTGATTATCACTAAAGGTTTTCACTATCACTAAATATAAAGTGATAATGTAGTGGTAGTGTGTCGCATGGTTAACATTGCTTGTGACGTCACATCGAACTTTAATGTGATTTTTCGGTATGTTCTACACTTTTCCGCACTTTCTTTTTATTTTTAACGTGTTTTTTGGGTCATTTCACATCGATTAAAAAAAATCGTCGATTTTTAAGCCACATAATGATTCTTGAATTTTTCCTAAATATATATTCTTACTGATTTCTTCCCAAATTATTTAATTTCATTCAATTTAATAATGATTATTATCAATTTAATTTAAATAAATTTGATTTTTTCCGTTCGTTATATCCGGAATACACTGTACAAATAATTTTTTTACCTTATAAATCCTTCCTTTGGTAACATAAAGTTCGATTAACGTGGGTGTGTGTTCAATAGCTGCGTCGATATATTGTAACGCCTTTTTGGTGTCTTTTAAATGATCGTAATGTTGCGCTAAATAATAATAAACCCAAAGTAAAGCGGAAGCCGGCTCACGAGGACCATTATTAGTCGTTGTTTCCGGTGTCGGAGGAAACTTCCCGCTTGATTTTAAAGTCGCTACGTATTGCAACATAAGTTCTTCGATCACTTCCGCTTTCCATTTATCCTGGTAAAGCGAGCACATATCAACAAATAAAGGTGGAATTCCTTTTCTTAACCCCTTCCTTAAGTACCGATCAACCAATCGTTTAAAATGCGTCTCATTCGCGATTGTTAACGGTAAACGTTGTGGAGGCATCGCTCGTGGATACACCTCCGATAAACATTTATACAAATCGAGGATATCTTCGGTGTTTTTGAGTTGTTTCGCTTCGATTAGTCGCCGATAATAAAACGTATTTTCTGGATTTCTTTTGATTAGTTGCTCATAAAGCTCTTCAGCTTTTTCGAAATTAGCCAATCTGAGATTAAGATCGGCTAAATTCTCGTTTAATGTTAGCTTATCGACGATTTGGTCCTGATTTGACGCAAGATGCGCGAACGCTTGCATTAAATCACCCGATTCTTGAATGACTAGGTTTTGATAAAGAAGAAGTTCACTGTGCTCGTAATCAAAGTTTGTCCCTTTTTGTTGTTGATCTAAAAACGTTCCAAGAATACTCAGCGCGTTTTTATACTCCTCTAATAAATGAAATGACATTGCATAACCTATCCACGATGCTCTTTGAGTCGGTCTTAACATTAATAGTTGATATCTGGTTTCCTAATTCACAATTTTTTATAAGAATAAATAAATTTTAATTTAGTTGCTTACCCTGTATCCCTCGAGATCCCTCATTTGAATTTGCAATAGTGATAAATCTCGAAGGATTTGTATATTATCTTTTTCCCATTTTAAAGCATTTCGGTAACATTTAATCGCTTCATCGTATTTTTTATCGGAACGTTGTAACAGACCATAAACGTGCCAACATACGTGCGATTTAAGATCGTTTCGAAGACCTCGTCGTACATACTCATACGCTTCATCCTTACGGCCCAAACAATTCAGTGTTAAACCTTTCATAGCAAGCGTTTCTAAAACATTACAACTTCTCTAATAAAATATTAATTCTTAATATAGGGTCGCTGATATCTATGGAAACGGTCGGTTATCTCCTAAACTAAAGTAAGATAGCTAGCGAAAAATGTTAAGTTTTAGTGTTTTTTAAAATCTATTAGAATAAAGATAGATTAAGTATACAGGGTCAGTCAAAAACTTATGACGAAACAAAGTTATGTTTTCTTTAATGGAACATCATGTGTATTATTTCATATTTCGGTTCATCTCGAAATTTTAAACAAAACTCATGTAGCGCATCTTAAACCCAACCTTAACCGTTTTCGAGATATCAAACTTTGAAAATTACTCTTATAAATTACACAAAAATACACTGTGTTAATTAATTATCGTAACCCACGTGACTTGTGTAATATTGGCTGCATATCTGAATATGTAGTGGTAGCTTGGATATGCGTTATTGTTGTGATTGTCTGATTGTGTGATTGTTTTTGGCTACTTTCAACATTAATTTCAATATGTGGATACAATAAAAATTATTTCAAATAAAAGGACAGAAAGTTAGACCTTTTTTTATATTTAAAATATTTTTTAATTGTTAAAATACTTATATCTAAATATATTTTAAACGGCTTTTAAAGTTAAAAAATTGTCGCCATCGTTTTTAGGAACTTTCGTCGCGTTGCAATACCAATCTGTGATATTGGTTGCATACTTTGTCGGGTACGATAATTAATAACACACTGTATTTTAGTCGTTTATGACCATAATTTATCAAGTTACCTTGGAAAGTTTTTCATCTCCATAGCAACGCAGTGACATAACACATGTCAAAAATACAAAAATAGTGTTGGACACTGCCATGGTGTGGGCACCAATATAGGCAAAACAAAACCGTCGTATTTTTAAGGAGAATAATTCACTAGATGTCGCTGAAGTCTTGAAAACACGCACACATACACGTATATGTATACATTTGACATTTGAATTTGACATAGCCATTTCCACAGCAGTGATACAGCAACAAATGCATACTTAAAACCTGCCAGTGTACCAACTCTACATTTGCCATTAAATTGTATGTATTTTAGTGTTGTTAAATACCCGAGTATTTATTTTCAAGGGAAAATACTCTGGATATATACCCGGGGGTATTTACCCAAGATGGATATTTAGAAGTATTTATAAAATTTAATTTAAATTGAATTGATGGCAGTTTTGCAAGTACTTCAAGAATGCAGAGTCGATTATCTATACACCAAACTTTTTTATAACATTTACAAGATAAGGAAATAAGTATTATATTCCTCGTCTTCGTATTTTTAGTTGTATCACACAAAAGACATTGAAATACATATTATCATTAGTAATTTAATGTCTTTTCTGTAAAAAAATGGAATTCCAAAAAAATTTAGAATACAATAAATACCCGCTAAAAGTTTCCCTTAGAGACGAACACCTCAACAGATGGCGCTTATGGCAGTTCAGTTCTATGTAGTTAAGTGGCAAATCTATATTACTATCCCTTATCTATGGACACTGCAGATAATAATCAAGTTCTACCCCAATAAGTCTTTTTTTATATCACCAATTATTAATTAAAGTATCCTCTTTTTAATGCAAAAAGCCGTTTTGAAAAATCACTTTCAGTTGTTGAGAAATAAATTTGCGAAATGATAGTAAATTTTTCCGAATTTAGCAATTTTCGCCAATTAAGTTTTAAAAATTCGTATAAAATCCATTTCTTGGAATATGAGTATGAAAATTTCCCAAAGTGTTAATAGAAGTGTCCTCTTTCCAATAAATCAACCCGTTTTGAAAAATAACTTTTCGTTTTTGAGAAAACAATATTTGAAGTTTTGATAAAATTTTCGATGCTGCAATTTTCATCGATAATTTTCAAAATTCGCTATAAAATTCATTTCTTGAAGGATCCTTGTGGAAATATCACCAATTATTAATTAAAGTATCCTCTTTTTAATGCAAAAAGCCGTTTTGAAAAATCACTTTTAGTTCTTGAGAAATAAATTTTTGAAATAATCGACAATTTTTTCGAATTTTGCAATTTTCGCCGATTAAGTTTTAAAAATTCGTATAAAATCCATTTCTTGGAATATGAGTATGAAAATTTCCCAAAGTGTTAATAAAAGTGTCCTCTTTCCAATGAACCAACCCGTTTTGAAAAATAACTTTTAGTTTTTGAGAAAACAATATTTGAAGTTTTGATAAAATTTTCGATGTTGCAATTTTCATCGATAATTTTCAAAATTCGCTATAAAATTAATTTCTTGAAGGATCCTTGTGGAAATATCATCAGTTATTAATTAAAGTATCCTCTTTTTAATGCAAAAAGCCGTTTTGAAAAATCACTTAGAGTTCTTGAGAAATAAATTTTTCAAATGATCGACAATTTTTTCGAATTTTGCAATTTTCGCCAAATAAGTTTTAAAAATTCGTATAAAATCCATTTCTTCGAATATGAGTTTGAAAACTTATCAAAGTGTTAATAAAAGTGTCCTCTTTCCAACGAATCAACCCGTTTTGAAAAATAACTTTTCGTTTTTGAGAAAACAATATTTGAAGTTTTGATAAAATTTTCGATGTTGCAATTTTCATCGTTAATTTTCAAAATTTGTTATAAAATTAATTTCTTGAAGGATCCTTGTGGAAATATCACCAATTATTAATTAAAGTATCCTCTTTTTAATGCAAAAAGCCATTTTGAAAAATCACTTTCAGTTCTTGAGAAATAAATTTTTGAAATGATCGACAATTTTTTCGAATTTAGCAATTTTCGCCGTTTAAGATTTAAAAATTCGTATAAAATCCATTTCTTGGAATATTAGTTTGAACATTTACCAAAATGTTAATAAAAGTGTCCTCTTTCCAATAAACCAACCCGTTTTGAAAAATAACTTTTCGTTTTTGAGAAAACAATATTTGAAGTATTGATAAAATTTTCAATGTTGCAATTTTCATCCATAACTTTCAAAATTCGCTATAAAATTCATTTCGTGTGGACATATCGCCAATTATTAATTACAGTATCCTCTTTTTAGAGTTGCTTTGTTAGTTAAATCAGCATCAAAAAAGTTCATTTTGTATCTTGGATCCAAATAAGTTGACATTACCTTATTAATTTCATTTTTATTTAAATATCACAATAATGTGGCAATATAGGGTATCACTTCAGAAATGCACCAGAAATTATAACCACAATGGCCAGATAGATATGGATAACCGGCTATCTAAGGGGATGCTGAATATCTGGTATCTGGCTTTTCGCAAAATCACTATCAGTTCCATCACTACTAATTAGATAAATTCGTAAATTTTTAAAAGTTCAATATCTGGAAAACGAATAAGTTTAGGTTTATGATTTACTACATGAATTTTGTTTAGAATTCAGAACTGAAATATGGAATAATATACAAGATGTCCCATTAAAGAAAACATAACCTTGTTTCATCATAACTTTTTGACTGACCCTGTATACTTAATTTGCCTTTATTGTAATAGATTTAAAAAAACACTAAAACTTTGTATCTTAACATTTTTCGCTAGCTATCTTACTTGAGGAGATAACCATACATATCAGCGACCCTGTGTAATTAATATAATAATTACCTCCATGTTCCGTGAATTTCGGGTTTGATAGAATTTGTTTGGCAAATTTCAAACCGTTTTTATACTGTTTGTGCTCGTAACATTTCTAAAAAATAAAACAGGAAATCAAACATAACCTCAACTTAAAGGTTAAAGTGAATAGTCATAAATTTAAGCGGGTGCAAGCGGGTAACGAAACGAATGTTTAAATCGAACGAAAATTTAATAATTATTTCACGTTTAATTTCGTATAAAGCAAGATAGAGCGAATGCCGAATGAAAAATCCATAATAATAGAAAAGTTACGTACCAAAATTCGTTTGAACAATGCGTTTTCTTTGGGCGGTAGAGGATTGCTTGACGGCATCTTCAATTTTGCACCGTAACGTAATTACGTGCACTATTTTCTATGGTTAAAAATTCTTCAAACCTCGTGGCTCAAAATCTCTACACACAGAAAAGTCGATTTTGGTCACGTGACAGATATGTAATAATCAGACATAGGATGGTCACTAAAACAGATCGCTGTAATTTGTAATTCGAAAATAACCAATTATTATAAATGAAGCTGTTTATTTAAAACGGTTTTTATTATAAATTGACGAAAAAATCGAATTTTGAAGTCATAAAACTCTTCTTATTTCAATTTTACAAGGTTTATATAAATTAATCAAAATGGTGGTGAAGGATGCGTTTAACGTTTAACCTTTGTTTAATTCATGATTTTAATAAATAATTTATTATAAAACATAAAATAATGTTTGATATTTGTAAAAATTCGTCTCATAACGTTTCTTATTTAACTTTGAAATGAAAAATCTTAAAAATTTTTTGGTTACCATGGTGACCTGATGTGTTTTGATAACTTAATTGTCATTTTTGACATTTAACCCTGGACGGATTCAAAACTTGTTGGAAATAATTCTTGTTCTTGCTTGTTTTGTGCTCTCGTCGTATATATAACGCATCTCGTAAGTATGATTTTTTTAATTGTGCGTCGTCGAAACGTAGCTTTTGCGTATCTTTGGAATTTCCGAGATGCGTTATTTGATGTAATTGTGTTGTTGTTTCTTAGTTTTAAGTTTGATTTATAGAACTGGAAAATATAATGCGCACCAAAGTAGCACTATCAAGAAAATGAATAAGAAGGACTAAATTGTTCTTGTCAAAAGTCAATTAACAGATAGACTTGAAATATATGATTATTGCCCAAGTCGGGGCGAAGTAATATTGAAAATGATGCCCATTGATGATGATTAGACTAAACAAGTTCAAAATCCTAAAAAAAAAGATTTGCGCTATTTGTGCCCTAATGATGAAATTATTCTGTGCAAAATGTCATAAAAATCTGCGTGGTGAGCACAAAATAGAGCTTTGCATATACTGTAACTTGGGTCTCACGAGAATGTGTTTACTTTTAAGTTAATACGTTACTTTACAAATAAAAATGATCCATTTTTGTTTTTCTTCTAGTTAAATAAATAATTAATTAAATACAATTGATTTTCAAAGGTGTTGGTCTTGGTGCATAAATCATCTGTATGACCTCTTTTAATAGTGCCGTCGTCTATTCGACGAAGCATAACCTGTTCGTATAAAAAATAAGCACAACCTTCCAGAATTAAGCAGTATGCTCAAAACTGCTCCGATATGTTCTACCAATGGGCTGCAGAAGACACTATAAGGAGCAGGAGTATACTGCCAGACACTTCGAATTAAGCAACCTATTGACATGGGTGCTAGAATCCTTCTTGAGAAAGCTCTGAAGAACCTGTGAAGATTAAACACACTGAGTTGTGATAACAGAGCTTTTCTGATCTGGGTCCCAGGTCACTCTGGGATTGCTGATAATGAAGCGGGATGAGCTAGCATGAGAGGACAGCGCTACAGCGTTTGTGGGGCCAAAGTCAGCAATTGGTATATCATTTGCGATGGCCCAACATAGGATTAGACTGTGGGCTGAAGAGAGAGCATATTTTAGGACTTGCTCATAGCAACATTAAAGTTCTAATGGGTGTCTTTACTGGGCACTGTCGATTAAAGACACATCTAGGGCCTAGCCGGCGATGTTGAATGCCAACTATGTGTGGAGGATGAGGAGATGGTTGAGCATATTTTATGCCACTGCCCTGCTGTTAATCGTATCAGATTCTCGATTTTTGAGTCGCAGTTTATCTCCCCAAAGGATCTGGATGACTTGTCAGAAAAATACATTAATTTTTTATGAAAAATACTGAGAGAGGTTCACTGGATAAACATAACATTATTAAATGTTAAATCCTACGTTTATTATACCAGAAATATTCAATCAAGTATATTCTATTAAAGTAATGAAACCACTAATGATAGAACACACCATATTTTGATTTCAATCTTCATTCACTTCGTTTAGAAATGGCCAACAACAAACAATGTCTTTTCTGTTGTTTAAACCCGATATCTCTATTTGGGTCATTTTTTGGTTTGCATTGTTTCAACTTTCAATGTGAACACATCAACAAAAAAGTGATTATAAAAGTTTCGATGATAAGAATTTTATGGTCAATATTCCTACAATTATTTTACACTTATCAAACAGCTGAATTAATGATTTATTTACAATTCGATCATAACAATTTAATGGAAAGTGTTACTTCAATAGCCGATTGGACAGTATCTTTAGTGTGTTTGTTGATTATACAACACAGCTTAATTTTTTGTATTAAAAAGAGGACGAGATATTATAAGGGTTTGGCGTATTTAATGTGTAATGGTGTTGAGTTTGGTGTAATAGACGTTTTCGATCAAAAAAATTTATCTAATTTGAAACGATTAATTTATGGAAATATTTTAACCGCTTTAATTGCTGTGGTTTTTCAGTGTTCGTTGGGAAATTATAAAAAATCGATTGTTGTTCTTGGATATATGATAATCGCAGCGTCGACTGCGGTAGATTTATTTATTCATTACATCATTTTTAAAAGAAATAATAATAATTTGAAACAAAAACTTCAATATGATTTATTAAACGGAACTAATTTAATTGATGTGTTAAAAAAGGCCCAAAAACTCCATTTATTTGCAATTGAAAGTTTAGAAATTTACGTTTTTGTATCGAATATTGTGATTTTAATAGGAGTTTTATTCAGCATCGCTATTTGTACTACTTATATTTATGTGCTCGTTATGTATAACGTATTTAATTACGATACTTTTGATAAGTTAGATATCGTTTATGTAATCGTAATGTTCATTATATGTTGTGGACCGATGTATCAAATCGTTTTTGTGATTACAAAACTTTACAACGTGGTAAATAACCTAATCGGTACAAATTAGGTTGATGATATAATTTTGTTGTAGGAAAACGATGTTTTATCGTTTCTTTATCAATATCCAATATCTAAATTAACTCAAATTGAGGCCGGCGAGGTAAAAAGTATTTTTAGTAACTACGAATTAAATAATTTATTTTTTTTAAGGTGTTAATAACGATAAATTCGTTTATAACTCATAAACCTTTAATAAAAGCTTCGAATATGTTTACTGTTGGTACACCTCTTCTTGCATCTGTGAGTAATAAATAATAATAATAAGATTTTTTTGTTTGTTTAATGATGTAAATTTTAGATTTCAGGAATGGTTATAACTTACCTTTTGGTGGCAATTCAATTCCATGTAACTTTACGTAATAAGTAATACAGTAAAACCTCGATATATCTCAGTATATTTATTATTATACTCAGTATATTTGGGTTTTAATTGTTATTCAGCGTTGACGTCATGAATCAAGCTATGCACCTGATCCTCTTGGATTCTACCGCCCTTGGTATAAATATAAAGCCAAGTAGACTAAACGCAATTAATTTGTGTGCATTAAATATTAGTCGAGGTTTTACTGTAATAAGTTTTAGATTGCATCATCATTTAGGACCAATAAAACAATTTACAACAGAACAAAAATTTTTCAAATAATTTTTTCTTAGAAAAATATAACAAAGAAAAAAAATAACTTATTATATTAGTTAAGTTCGAGGTTAGAGAGCAAAAAACAGCAAGTATCGTTTGATCTCTTTTATGTAAAAACTATCTTCTTTAAACAGTTAAAGACAAAAAAAGATTTTTTCGGTATTAATACGGGTTTCGTTTTTTCCTCATTCATTAACAATCAAATAAAATTATAACTTCTAAAATTATTTGCATAAAGGTACAGCAACAATTATGTAAATGAGACGAATGGATTTCCTCTTGTATACAAATCGCTTAATAATCATTTTTAGTTATCACCATAATCGCGGTCGCCGACGTTAATCCTGTCTTGCGCCGCGGTCACATTAAAGCCTAGGATCCTCGCATCCACTTTAGTCATCTTCGACTTTTTAGTTTTCTTACCTTTACCCTAAAACAAAAAACGAAAAAATCCTTTATTCACACTAAAACATAATTTTTTTACCTTTACTTCTTGAAAATCAGAGTTATGCTGCATCGATGGGGTAATTGCTGGCGCGGGGGAACACATATCATCTTTATGCGCGTTCGTTTTCGGTCGGAACGAACGTCGCTTTTCTAGGAATTGTGCCGTGAATTGATGCATCGCTTGACTCTCTCCTAAATATTCCCGACAATAATCTTTTACATCAGCCGCTGATTCAATATCTTTTAAAAATCCAATAAATGTTGGAACTAAAAATAAATCATAATTAACCAAATTTATCACGCAGACAAATTTTTACTCACTATCTACAGTGCTTGTAACATTTGATAACGCTTTAATACACCATTGTGTAAATTCCTCAGTAGCTGGTCCATTTGTACTTAAAGAACCGTTATTTTTTGAACCTGTCGTTTCTTCTTTCTTTGTTTTTGCTTTTGCAACTTTTGGTTGTTGTTGTTGTTGCGGTTGTTGTTGGGGCTTCGCTTGTGTCACCATGGCACTTGTTGAATTGCTCTTAACTACATTGGACGGTTTCGATGGGGCTTTCTGGGTTGGTACATCGTCCCAAAAGCCTGCTACTAACAAAAATAAATAATAAATAAATATTTTAATTAATTAATTAATTATTTTTTCACCATTTGAAGGCCACTGTGACGCAGTATTTGCCCAGGTTAAATTCTGTCCTTGCCATATACCAGTAGAAACCGGCGCCGTTTGATTTTCTTTTTCCTTATTTTGTTGCGCAAGTCTCTCGGCCGCTTGTTTCGCTAACAACTCTTGTTCTTCAGCTTGTATTTCCGCTAATGATTTAACTTGCCTCGGTTGAATTGGTTTATTAGCCCAGTTCAATTGAATTGACGCTTTTTCGATTGTCTGTTGCTCTTGCATCAACAATTGTCGTTGTTGTTGCTGAAGATATGCCATTTCAACGCGTTTCTCTCGTTCGGCTTTTTGGATGGCTAGTAAACTCGGGCCTGTACTTGCGCTTGAAGGATTACTCCAAGGAGCTGCTTTACTAACCACATTATTGTTTTTATTTTGATTCTCTTGGATCGCTTTAACCATCGCTCTCTTTGCTTCCTCCTTCATTTTTTCTTCCTTAATTTTTTCCTTTTCGTGTTCGTCCTCTAATTTTTTCTGTTCTTCAGCGCGTTTACGTGCTTCTTCTTCAGCTTTCCTCGCTTCTTTTAGTTTCCTTTTTTCTTCTAATTCTCGCAATCGTTTTTCTTCCGCTTCTTTCCTGGCTTTTTCTAGTTCCTTCCTAATCCTTTCTTCCTCCTTTTTCTTTTTCTCTTCGGCTATTTTCTTTTCCATTTCTTGTTTTCTTTGTTCTTGTTTTCGTTTTTCTTCCGCTTCTTTCTTCAGCTGCTTTTCTTCCTGTTCTTTGCGTTTCTTTTCTTCTTTCGCGGATTCTTTTTCTCTTTTCGATTGTTCTTTTTCTTTACTACTCGGTGAATGCTGTTGGATTTCTTCTGATATATTCGTCGTCGTTTCAACCGGTTGAGTGTTCATTTGAGATTGTGTTGGTGTTAAATCCCACATTGATATTGGCTTTTCATTTGGCGGCTGCTGTTGGGAAGGTGGTGGTGGTGGTGGATGTTGTTGTTGAGATTGTATGGGTTGTGGCTGTTGAGGTGGTTGATTCGATTGAACTGTTTGTTGTTGTTGCTGTTGTTGCCATTGATTAGTTTGTTGAATTTGCGAGGTTATGTATTGGTTTTGTTGCCATAAAGCATCCATCTTAAAAAATTTGATTAATTTCACTTAATCTAAGATTTTTTTTATATTACTTACAGGTTGTGGTTGAGATATATTCTTATTTTGTAATTGTCTTAATAAATTATTAATTGGATTATCATCGGCGGGTGTGGCGAGGTTTTCTAAAGGCTTCTGTGGTATATTTGGCATAACGCCGCTACCAGGTAAACTACTGGGTATCCCCGTCATTCCTGGTCCTGGAAGATTCCCATGGATTCCTGTCATATTGTTAATTAGGTTTTCAGATGGAATGGTTTGTGGCAGACCCATTCCAGGAAGAGGTGTAGCCCCTTGTGGAATCCTCTGCAGGGAGTGCATTTGTTGAACTAACGCCTGAAGTGGATCTAACTGCATGGGAATCGCGTTTGGCTGCTCTGTCATCGGTGGCCCGGATAACTTATTAACCTTACGTAAATCGCAACCTTATTTAAACAACCGATTTTTTGTTGATTAATCGGCAACTTACTTGTTGCATTTGATTGATGATGTGCATGAGTGGATTGGCGGCTTGTGGCGGGGGTTGTGCTGATTGCTGGAAATATTGTAACTCAACTGGCGTCATCTATACACAAAAAAAAATTTGGAGTTGTCTACCGATAGACTGGCAAAAATTGTCTCGGAAAACTTAAAAATCAAATATATTTATGTTATTAACCTGAGCTTGTGGCATAAGATGTTGAGTAAGCATATCCCTTTGTTGAAGTGCTGTAAGATTCGCCCAATCCGTGGGAGGAACCGATTTATACGGTCGCCCTTGACTTAAAGCAAACTGAACTTGAAGATTATGCAAATTTAACAAATGATCTTGGTCGGTTAATTTCACCGGTGGCACTTCTTTCAATGGTGGAATGCGCGTCGTCGATAAAAACGGATTCGCTCCGTTACATAACCTAACAAGATCGCCAAGAGTATAAAACGTTTTGTCGCATTGTCGACGAACAAGTAACGACAACGTAAAATAACCGGCTTTAAACCATTCGGCCATTTCGGTTGATACAAAGGGTCCTTGAAGATCACCCTGGGGATCCCGATAAAACCATTTGTCTTGAATGGGTGGAACGAGGTTTGGCGGAGGTTGCGGCGTTACTCCTACGCTTGACATCCCCATATTTGGGTTCATTGTTGTTTTTGGGTTCTCCTCCTCCACGACCAGCTTGGAAACGAGATCCTCTTGGAGTCTGTCAAAATCTTCTTCAACTCTATTGCCAAATGAACAAATCAATTTTTAGCGTAAGTTTAAACATAACCAAAAATATTATTATTTGTCAAAACATTTATGTCAAAATTTTCTTTAATATCAATGACAACTTTGATTTTTATTAGCTTAACCCTTTATGTACCAACGGTACTGGTAGTTTTAAACACTCCTTTTAACTTATAGTCATCTATTATAAGAAAGAACCTGTATAAAAAATGACACAATCCACACTGTAGGGTTTTTAGGTATATTTAAACATATTCATCCAGATGTGAGGTTATAAAAGTTACATTTAGTGTTTGGTACGTAAAAGTACCGCTAGGATAATAACAGGTATAATATTGAGATTCAAGTAAAAATAAGCCAAGCGGATACAGATACGCTTTGGTACTTGAACAAAGCTTTTACTGATGAAGAACTTTTGATGGTTGAATTAGAAAATCTTCATCCAACGGGAATTCTAAACAGACAGGCATAAAAGATGACATTGTTATTACTAGTGCTGGTCAGGTGCCTATGCTGGAAGATGAAGAAGTAGAACAACTAATTAATAAAAATGAGGAGAGTAACACTGAAGTAGGAGAAATACGTGGCAAAGGGCTCAAGAAGAAGAACAAGGCAGAAATTGATAAAAAATGGAGAAAACGGGAAAAACAGACTCAAATTCCAAGATACGATTATCCAGGGGGAATAATTGGTGATACTTTTGCAACTTGCAATAATCCTACAGATTATTTTCTAACATTGATGGGTAACTGTGTGAAAGATATTAACTTTGAAAGTAATTTGTACGCCACCCAAAGGAATAAAACGCTAAATTTGAAAGAAGAAGAGTTGATGTATTTTCTTGGCATAAATTTCTTAACGAGTTATCAGTTTGCCAAGCTATAAACTCTTCTGGAGTAATGCTGAAGACTTGGGTTGGGTTGGATATCACTTGTCATATCAACAAAGACCAAATGAGTTCCCCAGTTATTATCATGGCACTAGGTAGTTGGCTGAGGATGAATCCATGATAATCTTCAAAGGGAGGTCAAGCATGAAACAATTCAATCCCATGAAGCCCATAAAATGGGGTTATAAGCTCTGGTGCTTAGCAGATAAGAAAGGGTGCATAAAGAAATTTGAGGAAAATCTCTTAAACTGAAAAAAAAAATTCAAGATTAGGTGAAAGGATTGTCCTTCAACTTACTGAAGAGGAGTGGAATAAAAAAAAACAAAATTTGAGATCTGCTAATCATTTCTTGTGAGACCTTATTGTTCCACAAGCTAAGGTTTTTTCAGTTTTCGGTTTTTCCAAAAGACTGATATAAGACTGTAAAAAAGTTATCGAAATAAAGGTAGGAAAAACAAAAATAAAAAGTAAGAAAAAGAAGTATAACAAAGGCTTCTTTTGGAATACCATATAGATATAAAAAAAGAGCACATGCTTTCTACAAACTATCCAGAGAAAATCCAGACAATAGCGAAAAGTGATGCTTTATATTTTATGTCCATCAGATCAGCTGATACGCATTCTGCTGTGTTTCAACGAACTCACGGGATCCGATATTTTACATATGGACTAAAGATTTAGCTGGAAAAGGGACTACTCAAATTGGTTCAGCATTACTGAATTATCATAATGGCTTAAATTCTGGTGAAAAGCACTGCATTCGATTATTCTGTGATGGATATGGGGGCCAGAACAAGAACTCGCATATTATCCACGCATTAACGTTTTGGCTAAAAAAATAAGGCCTCGGAATATGTTTCGAATATTGTCGTCACATTTCCAGTTAGGGGGTACAACTTTTTTATCTGCAGATTGTGCATTCGGAAGAGTCGAAAAAATTTTAATACAGAATCTGTTTATAACATCAAAGAAAGAATATATGAAAATGTATTCCGAAGTTGGGAAGGTAAAAACACTTGGCTCAGATTGGCAAATGTATGATACTAAAGGCCTGGAAAAAGATATATAAAAAACAAAAGGAATATCAGACTGTAAAACAATTTTCATAAAGAAAACTATAGTCAATAGAAGTGTGGAGATAAAAGTCGCCACAACTGTATTTGGAAAATATTCATTTCAACCTCTTATGAAAAAGGGAAAATCTGACGACGGAATCCAGCTTAATAATATGGCACTTTGGAATTCTAGTCCAGACAAAAAGTTTGTGTCATTTGATGAATGCGCATTTTTTTACAAAAATTTGTTGAGGCTGAATGGAGAGGAAAATGAGACATCTGAAGTAATTGAAGAAGAAAATTAAAGTCAGTTGTGTGACTGTCTAGAAGAAGAACAAGCATATATAACAATTTGTATTGCATTTTTTTGTGATAATAAACCTTTTTTTTATTAAAGCAGTCTTTCATATGCAGACAAAACCGGATATATCCATTTTTATAATGCATATAACATTAAAAGCTTTAAATTTACATGTTCTATATTTATATATTATGTTCACTTTACATATCACTAAAAACCTACTTCTTTAAGAACGGATAAATCTGGTTTTGTACGCGAGCTCCTTAAATGTACTGGATGCAATGTTTATTTCTGTTGTAATAAAAGAAAGAACTGTTTTTCTGAATATCATAATATGATTTAGCTAAAGCAAGTGCTACCTACTTATTTTCTAGCATAATAATAAATGTATTATTTTTGTTTTAGCAATAAAAGTTTTTGTATACTGCAACATCACTAAAATATTTTTTAATATGCCTGAAGTTACACTCAAGTACCATTATTCCCCTGGAATGGGGGGGATTGTAATATTTTGCTAAAATTGATTCCAAAGACCTTTACTGAGTGTATTTTGATAGCGTTTTAATCCTGTCACAAAGTTTTTGACTTCTTGGGACACATATTTATATATTTTGTTTACTTTACATATCACTATAAACCTACTTCTTTAAGAACAAATATATCTGGTTTTGCACGCGAGCGCCTCAAATGTACTATTTATTTATATTGTAATAAAAGGAAGACCTATTTTTCTGAATATCATAATGTCATTTAGCTAAAGCAAGTGTTACTTATTTTCTAACATAATAAAAAATGTATTATTTTTATATTAGCAATAAGTTTTTATATAATGCAACATCACTAAAATATATTTTAATGCCTGATGTTACTCTCAAGTACCATTATCTCCCTGGAATGGGGGGATTGTCATATTTTGCTAAAATTGATTCCAAAAGCCTTTACTGAGTGTATTTTGAAAGCGTTTAATTCTATCACAAAGTTTTTGACTTCTTGGGACACATATTTATATATTTTGTTCATTTTACATATCACTATAAACCTACTTCTTTAAGAAGATATATCTGGTTTTACACACTAGCTCCTCAAATGTACTGTGTGCAATGTTTATTTATGTTGTAATAAAAGAAAGAACAGTTTTTCTGAATATCATAATGTGATTTAGATAAAGCAAGTGTTACTTATTTTCTAACATAATAAAAAATGTATTATTTTTATATTAGCAAAAAGTTTTTGTATACTGCAAAATCACTAAAATATATTTTAATGAATGAAGTACAATTATCCCCCTGGAATGAGAGGGGATTGTCATATTTTGCTAAAATTGATTCCTAAGATTGAGTGTATTTTGATTTTAAAAGTTTTTGAGTTCTTGGGACACAAAGGGTTAAACAAAAATTAGCTTATTATAATGATATAAAGAAGAATACTATAATTATTAATACTACCTATGTGAAGATGATGGTAGCTCTACAACAATTCCATTAACATTTAAATTCCCCTCAATTTTATGACCCATTTGTTTTTCAATCTTATCGACTTTAACTTCCTTTTTAATCTCAACATTTTTAGGTTTTTTCTCTTCAATTGGTTTTTCAGGCGGATCAAGCTTTTCTTTTGTCTCTTCTACATCCTTTATACCGACATTAATGTGTTCCTAAATGACAATTAAATTAAATTAATCCTCCTTTTTGAACATTTATAAATGGTTACCTCTTTTACTTCAATTTCGCATTGTTTAGATAACGAAACTGAAGATTTTGATGATGTCAAAGGGGCCGGTTGTCTTGGTGATATATTCTGCTGGGATGTAGATTTTTGTAACTCTTTTCTTCCGCCAATTCTATGATCCTAATATATAAATATAATAAATATATTGTCGCGGAGATGTTTTAATATGAACCTGTTCGTCGTCTGAACCGTGATACGCCCCGGTCGCATCGAAGGTACCCCCACCTTCGCCTAATTGTTCGGTAAACCATTCGGGTTGATGGTCCTCGTCCCAACCTTTTCTTTGAACGTGATTTCTACCATCAAACCAACTCCTGCTTCTTTCGTGTGGTCCACCTCTGTCGTCTTCTTTGTCACCGTCGCGCCAGCTTGTGGAACGAACCCATTTTTCAGCAGAACCACGATTAGTTGTCGACCTCCAACCTTCCTCTTCATCCGCCGGTCGATTACGACGCCAATTATCTACTGAAGCTGACCTACTAAAACGAAATTTAGTACAAAAATTTCTTTTTTAATTTAATTTATACCTGTAACCACCAAAATCCTTTCTTGGACTCCACTCTTGTTGTTCACCATTACCCCATCCTCCCACACCACCAGTTGCATCATAGCTGTTAACATTTCTACCATATTGATATGAACCCCGTCCTCTATTTGGTCGAGTCCCACCCCGTTCAAGTGAAGAACCACGACTGCCTCTGGTGGAAGAGTTTATAGGCGGTGCTCTGGATTGCCACAATCTCTAAACAAAGTTTTTTTAATGATAATTAATAATTATTTTATTGAAAATGGAAGGGTTGATGGGTGTACCTCTTCCTCTGTTGGTCCTTTGTCCAAAAGAACTAAGGGTACCAGTGGTGGATCAGTATAGAGTCTTGTAAAGTTGACCAACGAAGCTGGAGGCTTAAAACCCTTCTCATATAGTCCCAACATCTCCTCTCTACCATACCTTTTAATATTTTAGTTTATTACATTTTTACTAGTTTTTAAAAACTATAAGTAAGTAGATAAATTATATCTTATATCTTTACTTAAATCTAATCTTTATAAAAAATAAGATTGTGTAATTGCTTAAAAGATAATAAATAATAAACAAACTCAATCAAAATATTTAAATAAAACATAATAGTTGAAATAAATAGTGTGAAGTTCACTTTAACAAACAAAGAAAGATTAATAATCAATTCCATTAATATTTTATCATAATTGAATTTATTCATGATTACAAAAAGGTTCGTTTTAAAATTTAAAATTAAAAAAATTATTAAATTAAAAAAAAACCTACCGGTACCCAGATAGCTGGTATCTAGCTCCCCCTCCAGTTCCACCGGTAGTGGAACCATCAGAAGATAAGTTTCTCAACCACTCTGGTCCAAAATTCATGGAATCAGTCATCCTGTCCCTATAAAATTTAAACAATAACTTTAAATAAATGATTGTAGAATAATAATATATATCTGATTGTTTTGGCCAAGAATACACCAGCTATTACGAAAACAAATAGCTTAAAATGGTAAAAATATGGCATTCAAAATAGGTAGGCCAGCAGAGGCATGGTTGTTGCTATTTTTAGTCCTGATCTGTATTCCAGATGACTGCCACATTGTTAAAGTAAAATGTTGATGTAATCGGGTCCACGCGGGTTTATAATCCGCAATCAGTAAGGTTGAAAACGCGTTTTTTCGCGTAAAAAACCCTAAAATGAAGCTGTGAACGTGTTATGGGCTTAGGTGGCACGTTATCCACATTTTTCAATTACGCCTTACGACTAAGTTAGACCGTTAAAATTCACATTCAGAATTAGATTTTTGGATAGATGATCGGTACGATGAATTTATCATCCCTCAAAACCTACCTGAATAAATTATTTCACACAGTTGATAAATGGATCAACAACAATGGCGAAGGTACAATTGTAGGTTAGTGCGCGTGCGCTGAAATGTCAAAACGGTACTTGGTAGTGTACGTTCTGATATTAGTACCAAATCATTCTAAATAAGTAAATTCTTTAAATAATCCGAAAATTAACTTACAATCACTTTTAGTTTTACGGTTATCGATTGAAAATAACAATAAATATAAAATAACGTGTCAAAAAGACGTTGACAACTTGTCAAGATGAATTGAGTGTAAAATAATTTGAATTTCCCGCCATTAAAAGGCTATAAACATTTTTTTTAATCGACTAATTAATTGATTATAACATCAAAGTTATAATTAGCGAAACTTTAAAAATTATTTATTAACATTTAATTCGATTAAAACGTTAATTTTATTAAAGGAATTTAACATATGGTTTTGATTTAACAACACGTGATTTTTGACAGATTTGACATATTTATTTGACAGCACTTGTGTCATCACATCGGTTTGAACGTTAATTTTTAAATTTATTTTATCAACATCGATTGAATGAATTTTTTGGTGTACTTAACTTAAAATGTGTAATACTCGTTTCGAAATAATTTATTTATACGACCATATTCAGATTACATGACATCTTATCGTGGTCGTACGATTTTAATCATCTAATTTAATTAAGATTCTTCAAATTTGTGCTTCAGTCCAAGAGTTTTCGTTGGGTAAGATTGAATTAGAATTAGATTTATTTAATAATGGGTAAATCATCAGGTTTGGTTTCTTATTATAAAGTATTTGCTTATTTACAATTAATAATTAAGGTGTGTTTATTTAGTTTTAGATTATAAAGGTTTTTTGTAGATATTTTTTTATTATTAACTTTTTCTGTGGTGGGGTTTTTCAAATATACTTAAAAACGATGTTAAATTAAGGTTATTACAAAATTTAGAGTCTTGGGTTAAAGTGGCCCTTATAAAAAAACCTATATTAAGAACTGTTTATTAATTATAATTAAGATAACAACTCTGTAACACTTTAGATTATGTAATTATGTATTTAAATTTTAAAAAAAATCGAGATAAAATTAGGAATACCTTCCAAACTTCAAGTGTCGAGTTACTGTGTTAATTATTAAACAGTATTGCCTCATCTTTTCTAATTAATATATCAGTAATCACTTATTTTCTTTAATTATCAAGATTTATTCCATCTCAAATAATTTTTAAACTTGGCTTGCCTGCAGATAAATTAGTACAACTTTCTAATTTATCTTCAACATGTTGAACACATAATAAATTTGGAAAAACTTTAAAAAAACAAATTAAATACTATTAAAAATTATGACTCAACCTTATTTTTGTTTTTAATATTATTTTTTATAGATATTTTTTGTCTTTGTTTTATTTTAACGATCACTTCCCACCCGACCATAGAAAGTCAGGAAAGTGTGTTACTCAAGCTTGGTACCACGATCAGTACCAATCAGTACACGACCGTCTGGTGTTTGTTGCAGAAACGTATTACTCAACTGTACGATACCACCCAAAGAAAAATGATTCTTTTGATCAGTTTCATTGTGATTGCAATCGGGGTTTGTATCGCCATTTACAAATCGGAAAAACCGGCGAAACAGATTTTAGCCGAAGCCAAATTCGAAATCATTTACGCCCTTATCGGGTCTAAATCGTTATTCGAAGATATTTGGATGATTGGAAGGAACAAAACTGGTTCGTTTAATTAAAATGTTTGTTTTAAATCTTTTAAGTTCGTTTTTATTGTTTTATGTGAAAAGAATTGCCCAATAAAACTGGTAAAGTTGCTGTAATTACTGGTGGTACAAAAGGTATTGGAGCTGAAGTTGTAAGGATGTTGTTGGAGTGTGATTTAACGGTTGTTATCGGTAAGTAATTAATGATGTAATGGTTTTTTGTTATAAAAAGAAAATTATATATGGATTATTTTTAAAGCAAATTGCAAATATACGTTTATTTCAATAATTATTGGTATCTACATCAGATGTGTACCAAATCTGATCTAATCTTCTCATCTACACCCTCTTTTCTGTTAACTAAGGGGTTTAAAATGTATCAGTTTTAATTTTGATATTACTTTTAATGTCAATATTTATGTTAGGAACAGAAGTTTTTAGGTAAAAATTGATAACTCTTCTTATATAATACTCGTCTCTGTAAAATAAATACAATTTTTTTGGTTAAATAAATTTTTCACCAGAGACAATCTAACCTCAATATTCTGGATTTTAAATCTTTAAGCCATTTTTATCTAAAATAGACAATACAACATTATTTTTAATCCATTTCCATTAATAATTATAGTTTTATTTTAAAATTATTAATTTCAAACTTACAAATTTTCTTCACCCTGTACAAAATAACAAATTTAATCACTCGGTATAAATGGCGCGAAATTGTCATTTTTGAATTTCAACCAATCATAACGACGCATTTATGATTTTGATTAGATCAAAGTTGCCGACGAAGACTTTCTTTGAAACAAAAGAGACGCGGGTTTAGTTGATCTTGAAATTACTACTAAATTTAAGTTTAAGAATTATTGGAATCAATAATTGTGATTTAGTACTTTGTAAAGTAAATTCAAACCAAAAATTAATTTCTTCGCCCGAAAATTAAGGTTATAGTACATGAACCCAAGCGAAAATCTCCGAAAATCATATTTCATCGAAAACATAACCTCAACTTAGAACAAACAAAGTTAAGTTTAATTTAAATTTTATTTATAACATAAATAAGTACGTATTCATATTAACAACAATTTAACGTCTTTTTGCAGTCTTCGTTGCCTTGGTAACTAAATAATCTTGATAAAAATGTTTAAAATTTTTCACTTAAAAGAAATCAGCGCCCTCTTTCTTTTTTCAAATGTCATTATCTAACCTATTAGGATGCCTTTTGTGTGAGAGATAAAGCTTATTTCGCAAACAAGAATCTGATGTGTTCGAATATACTAAGTCACAGCTCTAAAATGAAAATATATAAGAGTTTAATAAGACCAGTGGTAATGTTGTATGGGGTGGAGATAAGGGGATGGAAGGAGCAAGGGCTCTTTAGAGGATGTGCAGACCAAGTACTGGAGGTTGGGGTTGGCTAAGGAGGCTCTGGGTTATATAGTCAGGGAAGAAATGAAGGTAAATAAGGTGACGGTGGAGGCGGGTAAGCGAGCGATACGTTTAGACGACAAGGTGGAAGGTAGAGGGCATTGTAAAATCTTGGGGGAGTGCTACAGACAGATCGAGGCAAGTAAGGGGGTTACGGGCAGCCAGAAAAGGAGAAATACTACAGAAAGGCGGGGTATTTAATGGAAGAAGTGAACAGGAAGGCGTGGAAATAACTGGAGAGCAGGAACAAGGATGTGGGAATGCAAGCGAGGAGGATGGCGATAAGGGAAAGTAGAATATGCCGAAATTGTGACGGAAGGGCTACCAAAGTACCTGATGAGGGAGTATGACGAGGAGAAGATGAGGTTGGTAGCCAGGTTTACATGTGGCAATGAAGAAAGGGCCAATAGGTATTGGATGGAGTGTGAGGTTGAATCTTTACATCATCTGCTGGTGGAGTGCAGTGAGTTGAGGGAAGATAAGATGGATTGGAGGCAAGTGCTGGGAGATAGGGCGAAGGGAAGTTGATGGATGGGGAAGGTGATGGCAGCGAGGAGACATATAAAGGGATAATCATTATAGGGGTGTATCTAAATTGATGCGAAAGATTTTAAGGAGTGATTTTTCAGCGAAAATTATGGGGGTCTTTCATATAACTTTTTGGTCAAAATCACTTCTCCTCCAAGTTACAGCCCTCTAAAATTATTGAAAAAAATTGTTTTTCTTTAATAAATCCATTATGGAGGAATTTGGAAAGATGAAATTTGGCAGATAACTATTACTATACTCTGTTTTTAAACCAGGAGGAGTATTTTAAATTTGTCACCAGATTGACCTTGCACGTGATTGGTTGAATGTGGTTGAATCAATGTTCGGTAAGGTTAGTTTTGTTTACAAACATTAATTATACCATGAAGTTTTCTTTGGCAATTAGTAATGACAATTATAGCGTGAAGTTTTCTTTTGTAATGTCAATTATAGCGTGAAGGAATGT